ATGAAACAGATCTGACATCATAACTACTGCCAGGCGCAGCTGGGGTCAGTGGGCAAGAACTCCACGTCTACATTATAACAGCAACAGATGTCTTTCTCTCTAGGCTTCCACTCTTACCTTTGGATGGACCTGATCAAGACTCGAGAAAAGTGAGAGAGTATGAGAGAGTGAAGATTGAAGTGTGTGTGTGTGTGAGAGAGGGGTGTATAAATATATAAAGAAATAGTCACTATCAGTGAAATCCAGTAGCGATGCGTGGGTAAAATCACTTGCTCTATAACCTGTTTATTCATATGCCTTGCGACCATGATATACAGTGTATAGGCCTAAAGGCTAAGACAATAAGAAGACACAGTGGCAGAATAAATTCAACGACACCTTTATTTTCTCACAAAACCGGATAGCAACCTCTGTCCAGTGAAGTCCACAAAGCATATTGCATGTACAGTAACCAGACAGTTACATGGCCTACAGCATGGTTAAGCAAGTTAATGTTTCCGACATTTTCGGACCACTAAACAACTATTGATTTAGAACCACAGAGAGTTACTGCAAGTCGCAAAGAAAACAGGAGCTGCCGCCACTATTCCAGCACCATTTCAACATCATCAAATCACCTCTGCTTACTCTAATACAGTAACAACTAAAAGATACCAAAAACAATTTAGTCCAATCAACGTAAGCTAAATATGATTTGGCTGTCCATGGTTCTGATTTCTGTGCGTGCGTTCGTGCAAGTAGAACAACATGTTGACTCACCCTACTTGTAGAGAAACGCCAATGCCATCACTCTGTCACACAGTAAACACTTTTATGTTTTGTTGACCTAGGCTACTTGGCTAAAATGTTTTCTTGCTAGCCTAACTTCCATTCATGGGCAACGTTAACTAGTTAACATTAGCCTTCTACACCTAGCAAAATATTGAACTTTCATCCTCTCAGGCCAGGGGCACAACAATGTATGAATTAATGGCTGGATCAGAATCGCCGTTATAATCATTGGCCAGTATGGAGAATTAAGTAAAACCACAAGTCCAAATCCCTATCTCCATCCATGGCTAATTTAGGAAAGGGCCAATTCTAGCTAGCTAGCTAGCCACTGGAGGACAACGAGATGCAACAATTCAAGTTTTTCTGTCAATGATGTATGCTGTCAATGAGATTTGATAGGAGTGATGCCAAAATCCAAGCTGGCTTCCCTTGACACTTTTTTTTGGTGCGCCAGGACCATTCACAGTTGAGCTCGCCAAATGCTCACTGGCATCCCTTGCCTTCAATGCTACGGGCGGCAACAATGTCATACTCATTTGGACCAGACATCATCAGATAGATGGCCTAAATGCAGAGAGACAGAGGGGCGCTGTTTTACTCGTTCGGATGCTTTCTCCTGTGAGATACATTCAGCCTATTGCGAATTGAAGGACAATTATGAAACACAGAGAGATGAAAGATACATTATTTTATGTTTTTTTATTGGGAAACTTTTTTGGGAAACCTGGCTTCCCTTGGCATCCATGAATACATGCCACTGGTGCAATCATGTTGGAGCCATGAAGGTATTCATGTTGGTGTGCAGAATTTTTTTTCTCTAATAATGGCCAGTGTGGGAACTTGATTTCAGTTCTAATAGAGTGGTTTCCTAATCAGCCTGCAATCATGAAGTTCATGACAATAAGAGGATGGACGTACTGAAAATTGTGGGTTCTACACAGCATTAGTCATCCCATTGAGGGTTTTGATAGTCCAATTCCAGAGCCAAAGCTCCCCAAACAAACATCCTCCTCTTCCTCTGGTCTGTGTTGTGGTGGAATGGCACTCCCTTCCCTGCTGAACACATGGCTTGAGTTTCCCCTCTCCACTATGTGGGCAGGCCTCACATGAGACCCAAACAGTCAAATGGCCAAATTTGGCGTTCATTAGGTTGGCTCTGTGTATTGTACTGCTGCGCACCTCTGCTCTGACCATATTTCATACAGCCTGTCCTGGGAAGCCCAGGGTTGTGCATTTTGAGGACTGGCATGTGAGCTCCAGACTGACTTGAAGAATGGCCACCTGAAGAGAATGTGCCCAATGCCACTGTCAGGTCTACTAGACACAGAATCAGTCTAATCTACAGTACATGGCATTCCTTAAACATCAGAGGACTTTTAATATCAGCAACAATATAGAAATGGGCAATTCCTTTCCATCTATTTGCATTCTATTGAAGTGAATTGAAATACCAACCATCATCTAAAATGGCAGCCAGTCCCTGCATGGTTTCCACAACAGTCTGTTCTGTGAACCAGGGGAATAAAGCACATACTGTATGACCATATTTGGTCTGGCTGACTGAATTTGCAATGTAATGGCCATCCAGTATTACAGCATAGTTCTCAGAACACCCAGTGACCCCAACCGCAGCATTGACAAGACTAACAGGGACCTCTACAGGAAAGAATGTTGGTGAGCTGATGAAGTCGTTGCTTTGCTATTAAATTCTATTTCCCTTTCAGTCAATTCAGGATTCCTGTTCAAGAATGAATGATACATACAGTACATTAATCAGAATTACCACTAACAAACTGGGCCATGCTTGTTTCAAACTCTTTATTTTCAGTGAATATAAAAAATACCTTTGTGACCAGATAAATATTATACATACAGTATCAGTTCATTTTAACTGTTGAAACAAATTCAGTCTGTTAAAGAAAGCACAACACCTACATTTGTCCTATTTCAGTTAATGCTTATAGACAAACTGCTTAGACAATATACATTATCTCAGGATAGTCATTACATTTATCGATAAAAACTAATTTATAGTGGTTTAACAATTAAACAAGGAAGTTGATTAGTCCTATTTATAAGGATTACTTGTATGTTGAATGAATTTCAAGGCAGAGCAAATTCACATCTTTAAGAGTTCAATAACAACTTGCCACATCCTCATGGAATGCAGTGGTTTCCTATATAGTCTAAAACCTTTACGACCCATGGATGCACTTTATATACCAGCAGGGTTTAAGGCAGGCAGATGGGCTACCAGCCAAGGCAATACATTGTGTTATGGCATAGGACTAGGTGGTAGTTAAAGATCTAAAGAGTTGGGGTTAGACTAGACTCGCAGGGTTTCCCAAACTCGGTCCTCGGGACCCCAATGGGTGCAAGTATTGATTTTTGCCCTAGCATTACACAACTGATTCAAATAATCAACTAATCATCAAGCTTTGATAATTTGAATCAGCTGTGTAGTGTTAGGGCAAAAACCAAAACGTGCACCCCTTGGGGTCCCGAGGACCGAGTTTGGGAAAGGCTGGTAGAGACATGTTCTCATCCAGAAGGACGAGGCTTAGATACAGCCTTGAGCTGTTGGTACAGCAGAATCAATTAAGGCACTAGTACACAATGCAGACCAGACACTGACAAGAAAGGTTTAAGTGTTGGAGTGGAAGCAATACTAATGACCTTATACTACACCAATACTGTAATAACATAAATTAACTAGTTTCCTAGTCAGGACTGGACTGTATATAGTTTCATCACGTGTTACATTTGACAAGAGCGTTAGTAGTAATCCTGAATGGTTGAACATGGAAGGCATTGCTTGCACTGCTCAGTGCATAAGGTTATACCAGTCATCTCAGTGCTGTTTAAGAGTGAAACCACCATACACAGCTGCATATGCAATTCCAATCAGTGCTGCACTCTCATCAATCTGATACAGTATATTGAGTGTTAATGTATTGCTATGGTCATAGCTGAGAGTAACAATAAGAACATGAACACGAGAAGAAGCTCATCTCCCAAATTCAATGGAATCTGTAATAAGTATAAACACTACCAGCTGAAAAGGGCATGGCCAGACAGAGTATAGCTTTGCTGTTGCGTGCGTATGGTGGAACTACCAACTCTGGCTACTGTCAATTAGACTGGAATTAAAACACAAAGACAAGAGAGAACAAACATGACAAAGAATGTAAACAGAGGCAGCAGGCAGCCCAGAAAGAGTGTGAGGGGTGGGGGGAGAGAATACTAGTCTGACAAGCATTACATATAGGATCGCACATAGACCCCAAGATTTAGCCCCTTAATGACCCTCTGCATGTGACTGCTCCCTGCTCCTTAAATATGAGTGACAACTGAATGTCCAAAGAAGGGAGGCAGTGATCACCCTACTCACACACCAGGGATAATTATTACTTAGAGAATTATTACTTTAAAAGGTATTATGATGCTGTACTAGCGTCTGCTGTTGGCTTTCCTATCCACTCAGACCAGACCCACTGACACTATGAATTTAGTGTGAAGCTGAAGTTCTATTACATTAAATACAGTACATAAAATTCAAACGTTTACCTATTCAACAGCAAATCCAAAGCTCACATTCATATACTAACATATTACAAATGCCCAATTCTAAGCTACACTATTGGTTAGTAGCTTTATTTATATGTATAGTTATAATGGTGCATGCAGGCCAATGATTAAATAAAGTACAGCAATACTTAGATCAACACTAAGAATACTGTCTGAGGAACTTAAACTATAGATCCCTATGTCAGCTGTGCCAGTTGGAGTGAGCTACCCATTTTCATGAGCTTTTACATTTTTTAAACTACCTTCAACTGATTTAGAGATGTATCCATGAAAGCTGTAAGTATTAACAGTATTTGCCATTATTGGGTGCAATAATGTTCATTTAACTGTGATGTCCTTATTCATGTATCCTACCATAAGATCAGTAAGAGAATCTGTCTCAACCTTAAGATTGCAGGTCCTAACCCTGCTAATACAGTACAGCTACAGCCAGCATAATGTCAATATCACCCTCTGTGAAACACATACGCACGCACACATATGAACACAGGCACTAGTTCCTCTCATAAAACAGGCCTGGCCCAAGTACGTTATACAATCCACCCGTAAGTGAGAGAGAAACAGCCAATCACAGGTGTCAGCTACATCTCTGTGTAAAAATAGGTTCCAATCGGATGTCCATCAACTTTCCTCTGGACCAATCATCTCTCATCCTCCCTCAGTTCAGTGGGCAGGAACTTGTACTGCTGCTGTCTGATCTGAGCCAGCTTTTTCCTGGCCTCCTCCAGCTCTCTCTCTTTCCTCAGCATCTCCTCCTGGGCTGCAATGATCTGAAGAGGGGAGGAAAGGGTTAAATACATGCTTCAGTCTGCTCATCTCCAATCTGTCCTGTAACACTCCAACCCAACAGGTAATAAAATCATGAAACCATTTCCTTGAGTCCCTTTAATGTACATATGGACTTGATTGAGTTCTACAAAGGAAGTATTTTCTTCAGAACATTTGGAATACTGCTCATACTCCATTTCACAGTAGGTTTCTTTAAAGCGGGTTATAGAAAACCTAGAATTAACATAACTGTTCTGTGGTAACTAGTGGAATGTCTTAAATGTAAGTATGCAGTAAGTATCTATTTATTTTCTTAAGCAAGGAGCTCTTGTGGATTTGGGAGATGGCGGCGGGTGGGTTATGACTAGCCCACTTGAGAGAGACCCGCTTTGGGAGAGTGCCTCTGGAGGGGTGCTGGCTAGAAGCCCTTCAGTGTTATACACACCCATGCACGCACGCCCGCACACTCAGGCACACACAAATATGCACAAATGCACGCACAATATGATTTCTGGAAGACACTCAATCACCTTCCTCAGTTGAAAACAAAGCTTCTTAGGTAGAAGTTAGCCCTAGGCTATGAAATAGACATCCACTCCTCAATTACTCTACATATGGCCATGGATGAAAAGGGAGTGGATAACTTGTCTGCTGGGCCAGAAGAATGTAAAAACTTTTCAAGGGACTTGATGTTGAGGCAGCTGTGGATGCCTGCTAAACCACAGATTTGAATCGCAGCTGTTGTTCTATTCAGTCATACTGTAGTGGCCTACCTCAATTTCAAAACCATTTCATTAGAGAGGAAACATTTGCATGTGAAGGCAACATTAAAGTTGGGAACAGTTGAGGAGGTAGAGGTGGAAAATGCACAAAGTAAAATTGAAGTGACACTTCAATGTGTCACTTATAGGGTATTTAGAATATAAACTCTAAAATCTCACCTGAGCAATGCCACCCACGAACTTGGTCTTGACCACCACACTGTCGTCATCAGCTTTGTCAAAGGCTGCTTTCTGAGCCGCCTTCACCAGGTTGTCTGATGCCCGCTTGACCGCGTTCCCAGCAGCCTTAGGGATACAGAACCCATGGTTAATGCCATCATAGTGTGATCATAGTGTGTGGAGGCGAAGTCAGAGAGACAGCAGTGGAACCCAGTGGGTTGTGTTGTGTTTAGTAGGGCTATACCTGCAGTCTCCTCATGGCCTCGGAGTCCGGTTGAGCTTTGACCTTGCAGGCCACTAGGAGCTGAGCTGTGGAGGCTGCCACCTGCTTGGCTGAGGAGATGAGCTTCTCTTCACTGGCGTGTCCCTGGACTGAGGCATTGGCCGCCTCACACAGGTTACTGGTCGCTGCCGCCACCATCCTCGCCTACAGGGAATAGCAACCACACATCAGGGTACAGCCTCAGACAGAAACATTGATTCACCATGCACAGTTTCATGGTCAAGTTATGTTTTAATATTACATGTAAAAAAGAAACAATGCTGGAAACTCACAGCAGATATGAGACCCTGTGACCACTGGCCATCATCCACAGCATTGGCAAGAATGGATCCCACCTGGAGGGCAGAGAAAGATACATTTCACAGACTTATGTTTTTTGTTGCTGAGGTGACATTCAGACAATTATGATTCCAAAACAGTTGTAACTGACCTTGCCCTGTGCCACCAGCTCTCTCTGTGCTGCAGAAGCAGACTTCACCAGGGCACTAGTGGCTGCAGCTATGGACTTTGCTGCCTCCAGGATCTGCTCCTCAAAGTCCAGCGTCTCATCTGCTTGCTAAAAGCAAAAGCACACATTTAACCATGGAAATGCACTAGGGGGCGATATCTTGTGGCAATAAGACAAAACAACATTTTACATTTACATTTGAGTCATTTAGCAGACGCTCTTATCCAGAGCGACTTACAGTTAGTGAGTGCATACATTATTTTTTTTATTTTTCATACTGGCACCCTGTGGGAATCGAACCCACAACCCTGGCATTGCAAACGCCATGCTCTACCAACTGAGCTACATCCCTGCCGGCCATTCCCTCCCCTACCCTGGACGACGCTGAGCCAATTGTGCGCCGCCCCATGGGTCTCCCGGTCGCGGCCGGCTACGACAGAGCCTGGATTCGAACCAGGATCTCTAGTTGCACAGTTAGCACTGCAACTGCGCCACTCGGGAGACCAAACTCCATTGGTTGTTTTATGGTGCCATGTTGAGTTACTGGCCAATCACATCCACCAACACATTTCATAATGGGGAATCATTCCACAGATCTTCAAATACTGTTTGCTGTTGAAAAGTCCAAACAAAACACTTTGCAAGATACAGAAGCACCCATTCTAAAAAGGAAAATAGATTACTTGGGAAATACGAATAATGTCACTCCTGTCTCAGTAGACTACACTAGTCAGTGACCACAGATCATGCCAGCATCACCAACACACAAGGCACACGTGGCTGGAGACAGGGCGGGACACTGTAGGAATATGTTTGATATATAGCTGGACTGAATAACAACCTAATATATCAAACATATCAGACAGAGGCCTGCAGAGAAGGCTTCCAGGTCTACAACATCTCAAGAGAATGGAGGAAGAGTGAAGCATGCTGGGGCGAGAGAGGCCCTTCTACAGGGTGGGAGGGAGGGGAGAAGGGGCACAGAGAGGGAAGTATGGAAGGAGGGAGTAGAAGGTGAACAGAAGGGGTTGTAAATAGTCACAGACACTACCTCGTCATTAGAGGAAACATTGTTTACACTGATTTAGATGTTTTATTCAGTGTCCCTTTCTGAAGGTGTACTGTGGGTTTGATATTTTGAGGTCTAAGGTATTCTACACCTTCCATAATATAGTAGTAAACATCATATACCGTAGCTGGTAAGAATGATTGTTTCATGATATAAACAAAGATCTCAAAATCTCTGCCCTGTCTCTCTGCCTTGTGGAAGAAGAAAGCATGCACCATTGTTAACAGTTCACTAGAGGGCAGACAGATACTGACATCCAAAAGAAGCAAACCTCCCTACACCCCCCTCTCATAAACACTGGGCTCTGCTGAAGTCTGGACCTGAGACTGCAGGAAGTCTCTTATGAAAACAGGAGATTCTCCAGCCATGTTTAGTACATCACCAGAGAGCTGGAGAGAGGGACCAGATCTGATCAACCAATGACACAAAACAAGAACACCACAGAGTACTACAGGAGAAGGAGGAAGAGTATAGGGAGGATCAGAGGTTCAATCTACACACATCACACACAAACAAACACACAAATGTATACAGCTCACACCTTACATACTTGCTGTTCAACTTTCGTAATCAAATTTCAGACAATGCATAAGTACTCACAGAGATAGTCATAGTTTTGTTACAGACAGTTTTTTTAAGAGCAGTAAAGTTGGGTTGTGCAATATCACTCCATGAAGTGGGTGAACACCTTGGGCCGAGAAAGGCCCTTCTTATTTTAGTCTGAAAACAAAGGAATGCTGTAATAAAACAAAGGAAATGGGTTCAACAAGGAGGATGAACTTTCCTTCAATAGGTTTCAGACAGATCATCACAAATGTGAACTCATTCCAACAAAAGCTTAAGGTCCCAGTAATGTAATTGTCTCCTGGCAACACGGTTCTACAGAATCTCAATAAAAACACCAGATTGCTCCCCAGACAAAACTTTCCAACGTCCATAAATACTTCAACATTCTGCAAGCTCACAGAACACACAAGTAGGCTGTCTTGAGTCAGCATAGTTTTACAGGTGGGCTACAGTTCACATAATACTCCCAATTCCCCCCAACAAATCCCAATCTCTAATAGCAGCTCTGAGACTGTAACAGATTACCGTACTTCAAAGTCAATGTGAACTTTTGTTATCTTTGGCCCAGGTAGCCTTCCTGATGAGTGAGTAGATAGGTTAGTAGATAGGTGTGTTCTGTGTTGGAGGTCTGGTCTGGTCTGAGAGGTGTGGAGGGAGATGTTGGAGGTGGTTGAGAAGGGGACTGGTAGGCCTACCTTGGGCTTGGCTCTGGGTTTCAGCTGCTCCAGTTTCTTGGCTGCGGCTTCGATTGAGGCTGCCGCTCCCAACAGCTCAGTCTCTGCGATGACTGTGGGGTCCTCGGGGTCCACCCATTCTGATCCTAAACCACACCACCGAGAGGTCATAATCACATTATAGAAACCCTATAACTCTTAACATACACAAAAATACCTCACCAGTTCAGACAAAGCCAGTTCACTTATGCCCTTTCTAAACAAATCCACATCACACCAGTCAATTTACAACACACAAACACAACTCCACACATGCAATGATAATGAGCATTATACTTCTGAACATACAAAGCCACCCAGATCTACCTTGCAGGTTTTCCACTCCGCCAAGTTCTGTCTATAGTGATTCTAATGCCTCAAAGTTAAATACGGTTAAATAAGAGTTTGAAGAAATGTACTTTCAATGGATTATTGTCTCTCTTTATAGGTTTTAAAGTGGCCATAAAACGGGACTATTTGGGAACAGCTTGGAAAACAGATGGAATTATGTTGATGCAGATTATGTTGAACCCTGGGGAAATCTGTTCAGTCACCCTTCCCTTCCCCCCATCCCCTCCCCTCCCCTACTTCTCTCCCTACCCTCTGTGCCTGTGTGAAAAGTGATCTGCAGGAACCAAACAGCCCCATCTCTCACTTACCTCCATCTGAGGCAGGACAGAGAGAGGGAAAACAAGAGGCATTAGAGAGGTGAAATGGATAGCCCCAGTGGGTCATTGGCTGTACACTGGGATCCAATTCTCACCCAAACACAATATTCTTATTTTTTAATGAACCTTTATTTTAACAGGGAAGACATATTGAGACCTAGGTCTCTTTTACAAATGCGCCCTGTATATACAACATAAATATACACATTATACCCTAACTATATATATATATATATATATATATATATATATACACACACACAGTTGAAGTCGGAAGTTTACATACACTTAGGTTGGTGTCATTAAAACTCATTTTTCAACCACTCCACAAATGTCTTGTTAACAAACTATAGTTTTGGCAAGTCGGTTAGGACATCTACTTTGTGCATGACACAAGTAATTTTTCCAACAATTGTTTACAGACAGATTATTTCACTTATAATTCACTGTATCACAATTCCAGTGGGTCAGAAGTTTACATACACTAAGTTGACTGTGCCTTTAAACAGCTTGGAAAATTCCAGAAAATGATGTCATGGCTTTAGAAGCTTCTGATAGGCTAATTGACATAATTTGAGTCCATTGGAGTTGTACCTGTGGATTTATTTCAAGGCCTACCTTCAAACTCAGGGCCTCTTTGCTTGACATCATGGGAAAATCAAAAGAAATCCTAACTGACCTAAAACAGGGCGTTTTTACTAGGATTAAATGTCAGGAATTGTGAAAAACTGAGTTTAAATGTAGTTGGCTAAGGTGTATGTAAACTTCCGACTTAAACTGTATATATACACTACCGTTCAAAAGTTTGGGCTCACTTAGAAATGTACTTGTTTTCAAAACAAAAATCAATTTTTTGGTCCATTAAAATAACATCAAATTGATCAGAAATACAGTGTAGAGATTGTTAATGTTGTAAATGGCTATTGTAGCTGGAAACGGCTGATTTTTAATGGAATATCTACATAGGCGTACAGAGGCCCATTATCAGCAACCATCAGTCCTGTGTTCCAATGGCACGTTGTGTTTGCTATTCCAAGTTTATCATTTTAAAAGGCTAATTGAGCATTAGAAAACCCTTTTGCAATTATGTTGCCACAGCTGAAAACTGTTGTGCTGAGTAAAGAAGCAATAAAACTGGCCTTCTTGAGACTAGTTGAGTATCTGGAGCATCAGCAATTGTGGGTTCGATTACAGGATCAAAATGGCCAGAAACAAAGAACTTTCTTCTGAAACTCGTCAGTCTATTCTTGTTCTGAGAAATGAAGGCTATTCCATGCGAGGAATTGCCAAGAAACTGAAGACATCTGTTTCTCAAACTAGACACTCTAATGTATTTGTCCTCTTGCTCAGTTGTGCACTGGGGCCTCCCACTCCTCTTTCTATTCTGGTTAGAGACAGTTTGTGCTGTTCTGTGAAGGGCGTAGTACACAGCGTTGTACGAGATCTTCAGTTTCATGGCAATTTCTCGCATGGAATAGCCTTCATTTCTCAGAACAAGAATAGACTGACGAGTTTCAGAAGAAAGTTATTTGTTTCTGGCCATTTTGAGCCTGTAATCGAACCCACAATTGCTGATGCTCCAGATCCACAACTAGTCTCAAGAAGGCCAGTTTTATTGCTTCTTTAATCAGCACAACAGTTTTCAGCTGTGCTAACATAATTGCAAAAGGGTTTTCTAATGATGGCTGATGGTTGCTGATAATGGGCCTCTGTACGCCTATGTAGATATTCCATTAAAAATCAGCCAATTCCAGCTACAATAGCCATTTACAACTTTAACAATGTCTACACTGTATTTCTGATCAATTTGATGTTATTTTAATGGACAAAAAATGGCTTTCCTTTCGAAAACAAGGACATTTCTAAGTGACCCCAAACTTGTTCACTACAATGTAGAAAATAGTAAAAATAAAGTGAGTAGGTGTTGATTGGAATGATTTATTTCAGCTTTTATTTCTTTCATCACATTCCCAGTGGATCAGAAGTTTACATACACTCAATTAGTATTTGGAAGCATTGCCTTTAAATTGTTTAACTTGGGTCAAACGTTTCAGGTAGCCATCCACAAGCTTCCCACAATAAATTGGGTGAATTTTGGCCCATTCCTCCAGACAGGGCTGGTGTAACTGAGTCAGGTTTGTAGGCCTCCTTGCTCGCACACGCCTTTTCAGTTCTGCCCACACATTTTCTATAGGATTGAGGTCAGGGCTTTGTGATGGCCACTCCAAGCTTTAACTTCCTGACTGATGTCTTGAGAGGTTGCTTCAATATATCCACATAATTTTACTTCCTCATGATGCCATCTATTTTGTGAAGTGCACCAGTCCCTCCTGCAGCAAAGCACCCCCACAGCATGATGCTGCCACCCCCGTGCTTCACGGTAGGGATGGTGTTCTTTGGCCTGCAAGCGTCCCCCTTTTTCCTCCAAACATAACGATGGTCATTATGGCCAAACAGTTCTATTTTTGTTTAATCAGACCAGAGGACATTTCTCCAAAAAGTACGTTCTTTGTCCCCATGTGCAGTTGCAAACTCTAGTCTGGCTTTTTTATGGAGGTTTTGGAGCAGTGGCTTCTTCCTTGCTGAGGGCCTTTCAGGTTATGTCGATATAGGACTCGTTTTACTGTGGATAAAAAGTATTTAGTCAGCCACCAATTGTGCAAGTTCTCCCACTTAAAAAGATGAGAGAGGCCTGTAATTTTCATCATAGGTACACGGCAACTATGACAGACAAATTGAGAAAATGTTTTCCAGAAAATCACATTGTAGGATTTTTATTGAATTTATTTGCAAATTATGGTGGAAAATAAGTATTTGGTCACCTACAAACAAGCAAGATTTCTGGCTCGCACCTACAAACAAGCAAGATTTCTGGCTCGCACAGATCTGTAACTTCTTCTTTAAGAGGCTCCTCTGTCCTCCACTCGTTACCTGTATTAATGGCACCTGTTTGAACTTGTTATCAGTATAAAAGACACACAAGACACACAAGTCCACAACCTCAAAAAGTCACACTCCAAACTCCACTATGGCCAAGACCAAAGAGCTGTCAAAGGACACCAGAAACAAAATTGTAGACCTGCACCAGGCTGGGAAGACTGAATCTGAAATAGGTAAACAGCTTGGTTTGAAGAAATCAACTGTGGGAGCAATTATTAGGAAATGGAAGACATACAAGACCACTGATAATCTCCCTCGATCTGGGGCTCCACGCAAGATCTCACCCCGTGGGGTCAAAATGATCACAAGAACGGTGAGCAAAAATCCCAGAACCACCCGGGGACCTAGTGAATGACCTGCAGAGAGCTGGGACCAAAGTAACAAAGCCTACCATCAGTAACACACTACGCCGCCAGGGACTCGAATCCTGCAGTGCAAGACGTGTCCCCCTGCTTAAGCCAGTACATGTCCAGGCCCGTCTGAAGTTTGCTAGAGTGCATTTGGATGATCCAGAAGAGGATTGGGAGAATGTCATATGGTCAGATGAAACCAAAATAGAACTTTTTGGTAAAAACTCAACTCGTCGTGTTTGGAGGACAAAGAAGGCTGAGTTGTATCCAAAGAACACCATACCTACTGTGAAGCATGGGGGTGGAAACATCATGCTTTGGGGCTGTTTTTCTGCAAAGGGACCAGGACGACTGATCCGTGTAAAGGAAAGAATGAATGGGGCCATGTATCGTGAGATTTTGAGTGAAAACCTCCTTCCATCAGCAAGGGCATTAAAGATGAAACGTGGCTGGGTCTTTCAGCATGACAATGATCCCAAACACACCGCCCGGGCAACGAAGGAGTGGCTTCGTAAGAAGCATTTCAAGGTCCTGGAGTGGCCTAGCCAGTCTCCAGATCTCAACCCCATAGAAAATCTTTGGAGGGAGTTGAAAGTCCGTGTTGCCCAGCGACAGCCCCAAAACATCACTGCTCTAGAGGAGATCTGCATGGAGGAATGGGCCAAAATACCAGCAAACCTTGTGAAGACTTACAGAAAACGTTTGACCTGTGTCATTGCCAACAAAGGGTATATAACAAAGTATTGAGAATTTTTTGTTATTGACAAAATACTTATTTTGCACCATAATTTGCAAATAAATTCATTAAAAATCCTACAATGTAATTTCTGGAATTTCTTTTCTCATTTTGTCTGTCCTAGTTGACGTGTACCTATGATGAAAATTACAGGCCTCTCTCATCTTTTTAAGTGGGAGAACTTGCACAATTGGTGGCTGACTAAATACTTTTTTCCCCCACTGTAGATACTTTTGTACCTGTTTCCTCCAGCATCTTCACAAGGTCCTTTGCTGTTGTACTGGGATTGATTTGCACTTTTCGCACCAAAGTACGTTAATCTCTAGGAGACAGAACGCGTCTCCTTCCTGAGCGGTATGACGGCTGCGTGGTCCCATGGTGTTTATACTTGCGTACTATTGTTTGTACAGATGAACGTGGTACTTTCAGACGTTTGGAAATTGCTCCCAAGGATGAACCAGACTTGTGGAGGTCTACAATTTTTTTTCTGAGGTCATGGCTGATTTCTTTTGATTTTCCCATGATGTCAAGCAAAAAGGCACTGAGTTTGAAGGTAGGCCTTGAAATACATCCACAGGTACACCTCCAATCAACTTCTGACCCACTGGAATTGTGATACAGTGAATTATAAGTTAAATAATCTGTCTGTAAACAATTGTTGGAAAGATTACTTGTGTCATGCACAAAACTATAGTTATATATATATATATATACACAGTGCATTCAGAAAGTATTCAGACCCCTTGACTTTTTCCACATTTTGTTACGTTACAGCCTTATTCTAAAATGGATTAAATAAAACATTTTCCTTTATCAATCTACAGACAATACCCCATAATGTCAAAGCGAAAACAGGTTTTTGGAATTTTTTGCAAATGTATTAAAAATTAAAAACAGAAATACCTTATTTACATAACTATTAAGACCCTTTGCTATGAGACTCGAAACTGAGCTCAGGTGCATTCTGTTTCCATTGATCATCCTTGAGATGTTTCTACAACTTGATTGGAGTTCACCTGTGTTAAATTCAACTGACTGGACATGATTTGGAAAGGCACACACCTGTCTATACAAGGTCCCACAGTTGACAGTGCAGGTCAGAGCAAAAACCAAGCCATGAGGTCGAAGGAATTGTCCGTAGAGCTCCGACAGGATTGTGTCGAGGCACTGATCTGGGGAAGGGTACCAAAAAATGTCTGCAGCACTGAAGGTCCCCAAGAACACAGTGGCCTCCATCATTCTTAAATGGAAGAAGTTTGGAACCACCAAGACTCTTCCTAGAGCTGGCCGCCCGGCAAACTGAGCAATCGGGGGAGAAGGGCCTTGGTCAGGGAGGTGACCAAGAACCTGATGGTCACTCTGACAGAGCTCCAGAGTTCCTCTGTGGTGATGGGAGAACCTTCCAGAAGTACAACCATCTCTGCAGCACTCCACCAATCAGGCCTTTATGGTAGGGTGGCCAGATGGAAGCCACTCCTCAGTAAAAGGCACATGATAGCCTGTTTGGATTTTGCCAAAAGCCACCTAAAGGACACTCAGACCATGAGAAACAAGATTCTCTGGTCTGATGAAACCAAGATTTAACTCTTTGGCCTGAATGCTAAGCGTCACATCTGGAGGAAACCTGGCACCATCCTTACGGTGAAGCATGGTGGTGGCAGCATCATGCTGTGGGGATGTTTCTCAGCGGCAGGGACTGGGAGACTAGTCATGATCGAGGGAAAGATGAACGGAGCAAAGTACAGAGAGATCCTTGATGAAAACCTGCTCCAGAGTGCTCAGGACCTCAGACTGGGGCGAAGGGTCGCCTTCCAACAGGACAACAACCTTAAGCACACAGCCAAGACAACACAGGAGTGGCTTTGGGACAAGTCTCCTTGATTGGCCCAATCAGAGCCCAGACTTGAACCCAATCAAACATCTCTGGAGAGACCTGAAAATAGCTGTGCAGCGACGCTCCCCATCCAACCTGACAGAGCTTGGGAGGATCTGCAGTGTAGAATGGGAGAACCTCCCCAAATACAGGTGCCAAAGGTGCGTCAACAAAGTACTGAGTAAAGGGTCTGAATACTTATGTAAATGCGATATTTCAGTGTTTTATTTTAATAAATTAGCAAAATTTTCTAAAAACCTGTTTTTGCTTTGTCATTATGGGGTATAGTGTGAAGATTGATGAGGGAAAAAAACAATTTAATCCATTTTAGAATAAGGCTGTAACGTAACAAAATGTGGAGAAAATCAAGGGGTCTGAATACATTCCGAATGCACTGTATATACACACACACACATACATTCAAATACAAAAACACAGTCATGGGAAGCACAAATAAAACATCACATATATTAGTGCTGTCAGAGATATGGAAGGCAGGCAGCAGGGCTTCTGAAGGACACATTCCTGGTATACATGTGATAGCCAACCTACTAATCTAATGTTGACACTTGCAATTACTCAGGATGTTAGGCCCACTCTACAGCACATTTTCTATATTACCTGTCCACATAACCTGTGGATTAATGGGGTGGTTTTAAAAAAAACAACATTATTGTGAATATTATACACACACAAATCCATTATAGGCCCTGGGAAGAAAACATCCCTAAACTAATTTACATTGTTTGAATTTATAGCCAGAATGGTATGCTGGGTTTCTGCAGAATGCAGTAGTCTGGTCGAACTATGCTCCTCTAGGTGAATTTGTGTGTGTGTGCATGTATGCAAGTGTGTGTGTGTGGCAGCGCTGTGTGCTGTCTCACCCTTCATGGCCTCAGCTGTCTGGATGAGCTCTGTCACACATCCCGCCACGCACTTGGAGTGTACCGCCAGCTGCTGCCTCTGGTCAGCCGTGGGCTTCTGGAGCACCTGGACACACACACAGACACAGACACAACCTTCCTCATGGAGCCACATGCCATCAGGCCAAGCTAATAGAGGTTATGAGTTCTAAGGTGTTGTCTGTGTGATGTATTGTATTCTCCCCCTCACCAGCAGTACTTGCTCCAGCAGGTCGATGTATCCAGTGGTGCACTCTGACCCGTAGTGCAGGGCCTTGCTCCTCACCTCATCACTCACCTCTGGATGACAGGCCGCTTGCTGGAAGAAGAAACAACAACTTAGAAAAGGTGACATTTTCTCTGCTTAGTGATATGCTCTGCCTAGTGATATGCTCTGCCTAGAAATATGCTCTGCCTAGAGATATGCTCTGCCTAGTGATATGCTCTTGTCTAGTCAGTGAGTCAATGTCTAAAACATAGTGTGACCACTAGTCCAGTGTTTCCCAACTCCAGTCCTCCAGTACCTCCAACAGTACACTTTTTTTGTTGTAGCCCCTGACAAGCACACCTGATTCAACTTGTCAACTAATTATTCAAGCCCTCAATGAGTTGAATCAGGTCTGGTTGTCCGGGGCTACCACAGATGGTACACGAGGACTGGAGTTGGGAAACATTACATTAGGATATACTATCCAGACCACAGGAGGCTGCTGAGGGGAGGACGGCTCATAATAATGGTCGGAACGGAGCAAATGGAATAGCATCAAACACATGGAAACCATGTGTTTGATGTCTTTGATACCATTCCACTGATTCCGCTCCAGTCATTACCACAAGCCCGTTCTCCCCAATTAAGGTGCCACCAACCTCCTGTTATCCAGACTGTATGTTACTTAGAGCAGTATGGGCCAGTTTGTTAAGGTCTCCAAATGCTTTTTGATACTTCTTTCCTGGTCTTTTCACTGCTAGAAGTAAAGTATTGTGATGTGCCTGAAGGGCATCATGCCTAATGTTCCAGGCTGAGTGACATTGAACCATGAGTACGTCACACCAGCCATCTGAACTAGCCCCTGCTGTCCTGCTGTCACATTTTCCCTGGCAGAGCAGCATTATGGGACTGAGTGCTGTGCTGTAGTGTCAGTGTGAGGATGTGAGCCCTGAGCTGGCAGGGTTGGGGTGGATTATCACCTTGCAGGTGGTCAGCATATCAGAGATGGCTTTGCGGCTCAGGTTGGCTGTGGCGATGACGTGCTCCTGCTGGGCAGAGTTGCCCGCTGCCACAGCCTTGGACGTTGCTGTGGTGATGCCCTTTGTCATGCGGATAAACTCTTCCGGCGTGGTCGACTTCTCTGGGAGGTCCTTGGACTGGAACACCTGCGCACACTCACAGCATGACTAACTGTGACTGCACTGACAGCCACTGAGGATGATCTACTTTGATGCACAGGTTCGTGCATTATTACCAAGGACAGGAGTTTTTCCTGACGATATGACCAGACTAGAAAATACTCCTGGCGCTTATTGTTAGTCTTAAACAGTCAACAGTCAGCCCGAGGTGTACACGACCACTGTAATGGCGGTGCACAATTGGCCCAGCGTTGTCCGGGTTTGGCCGGGGTAGGCCGTCATTGTAAATAAGAATTTGTCCTTAACTGACTTGCCTAGTTAAATAAAGGTAAAAAAAAAAAAAAACGTTTCCTAGTGTTATTGATGCTACTATAATTGTGAGCTAAGTGGGCTGTGTTTGATTTGGATTTGCAACCTAGGTAAAGCCTGTTGTGGTCCTGAGGGTACACTGATAAGGATTAGCAGTAAATCACAAGAAAAACAAGCTGACTAATATTTCAGCCTCCCTTTCCCCCTGTGTCTGCTACAAAATCCCTGATAAGAGCAACGAGAATACTGCAGGGCTTTGGGGAGGAGAGGAGAGGAGAGGAGGAGCAGCAAAGGTTGAATAGATATCAGATTTTAAGTCGAGAAAATATATATTTTTTAACTGTTAGGTATGGCATTCAATATACAGGCACACCTCCCTTGCTTTAACCAGCCTGGCGAGGGGAGCCTGTCAGGGAGTCTTACTGTCAACTCCTGTTTGATGCACTCAATGGTGGCCTCCAGTGCCCTCGTCCCGCGAGTAGCCTCATCCTCCACAGCCTTGACCGTCTTCAGCAGTGAAGTCACATTGGTCACCATCACCTTTCAGAGAGAGAGAGATAGAGGGACTGTAGCAGTGGGGATGAAACTCAATAAACACAGAGCCAGGCCAACAGGTGGTGTCGTCTCCCCCCAGCACCAGAGACCAGACAGGTCTCAGTAGATCCAGCCCTGATAGAACACCAACAGTATGGAAGGACAATACTATACATTTCAGACCATGAGGAAAAAAAACTTAAAGCAGAACCACAGACAAACTTGTTTTATAAGCAAGAACCCTGCATCAAAACCTCAAACAGACCATGTACAGCTTGTTTGTGAGGAGCAGATTGTGCCATGGAACTCTGAACATATTTCAACAACCCGAACAGAGCACGGAGGGGTTTGAGAGAGGGTCCCATTCGGAGGTCACCATATGTTGGAGGAATGAAAACAAGCTGTGAGCTTGAGCAGGTTACATGGGTGGCCCTAATTAGATTAAAACTAGAGAGGAAAATAAGCCTAATGTAACAGTTAGAGTTGCATATGTGTGGCTGAATAGTTGGAGGATAAGAGAGAAGTGATTGAAGGGTGAGAAGGATTAGGGGCATGTCTTAGAGAGGTAATACTTTGATTATGGTTATATGATGCTGGCTATACAGTCAACCTATGAAATCCTTTGATCTGGTCCAAGGTATAACCAAGGACAGGTATACTTAAAGCCCATAACTGGACTCGGGGTGTAAGGCATGTTAACTATGACATTGAGGTCTCTCTGCACACTGCGAAACGATATGCTCAAGTCTGTTTAGTGTAATGTTTCCTTGGATATCCTCTATTAAAATTGAGAAAGATTACTGTGGAGTTTAGTTTTGATCTCTGAGCTGCTGGCCTATGTGTTGGTAGATATGGAGGGAGAGTGTGAGTAGAAAGAGCAGGGCACGCAGGTTTGGCTAGGCTTCAGTAAAGCCCCAGTCAGTGGCTGTCTCTCCATAGTGTTGGAGATAAGGAGCCTCTCCAGTCACAGTGGTGTGATCACAGATGGCTCAGAGCTCACACCCACTGTGACAAGCATGAGTCACACACACCCTGACACCCATCTCAGTGACAGTGGCAAACACACACACACACACATACACACACACACACACACACACAAATACAAACACACAGCCAAACACGAACAGTGATAAGAAAGTGTCATATCCTGTTGGAAACCGGATCATACGCGTTGCTTTGAGAACCTACTGCTGTGACACACAAAGACAGCATATTGCATTAGATACTGTATCTATAGATAAGCATATCCCTGTACAGGAGCTACATTTCTGTAAAACAAGGGCAGCTGAATACACAAATTCAGTGTGGTATTCTCTATGTTAGAGAAGTGTATGTCTTACAGTACCTTGGCAGCACTCTTCAGCTGATACATGGACGGGTCATCCGCTGGCTTGCCTGCAGCACACTTGGTGGCGCCGATGAGCTCAGCTAGAGCCTTGGCCACATCTCTCACCGCATTTATGAGGACCACCTGAGAAGAGGGGGAGGGAGGGAGAGAGAGAGACACCACATCAATACAACACAATGGACAGAGTACAGGTTTATCAGGCCTACCTCAGGGCAGGATTTAACAGAGCCTGGCCTTATCACTTCTTCCTGGAACTATGATACTTCTGGCAAAGTGAAGGGGAGAGATACAGCAGGAGGAAATGTATGCTACAGAATGGCTAGACAGAATGACAAAAGACTAACAGAACAGTACGGGCCTGTCAGGTTTACCTTTACATAATACATGGCGTACAGGTTAAATTATGATTGGACTATTTAGAGGTATGTGATATAAATATGTGGAAAGATTGTCTGAAAGATTGTTGTAGTGTTACATTTATGTGTTGTAATTTCAATCCAACATGGTGTGGTCAGTGTATTACCTGAGTCTCTGGGTCGTCAGAGCCCATGCTGGTGGCTCCCAGTTTGACCACGTCAGTGAGCATGGTGATGGTGTTGGCTGAGGACTGGGCAGCCTGGGCCAGTCTGTCCTGACTGGACGCTGCCCCAGACACCAGCCGCTTAGTGTCCTCCACCAGAGCCTTGGCTGTCTTCAGGATGCTCTCCCTGAGGAACACCACACAACATCTTGTCAAATACCCATTGGGAACAATTAAGATTTATTGAATGTAATACTCTATAGTCATACAGAAGCTGCAGTTTATGGGAAGAAACATTCCCTTTCCTCAAGGAAAGCCATCTTGTATGAGGTCAAAGTCCATTCTATTATATTCCTTCACTGACCCATATTTGACCTGTGGTTTCTGTGGACATAATACGTTTGGCCCAAGGTCATCTCCTCAACAGAACAGTGTTCACCTCACTACTCTGCCCTGCTCTGGTCTCACCTGTGGTCAGCGAAGGACTCTTCGTTCTCAGGATTGAGTGTTCCGGCCGAGGCGAACATGATGGTGGTGTCCAGGTCAGCGATGATGCCAGAGACAGTGCTGGCTGCTGTGATGCAGGCCTGAGTGCCTTTGTTACCTGCCTGCAACGCAGACAGCACCATGGAAACCTGCATGGACAGACAGACAGGGGGAGCAACACACAACACAGGATTAACAACAGCACCTCCAGGTCTGTCTCAATAAACATCCAAACACACAGCATGATCATAAACTAATCATACCCTCTGACCTTATTATGTTAAGAGAAAACAAAGGAGCTTAGGCATAATATCTGCTATTATCTGTGAATGACAACCACCACTCAGGATCCACGGCTTACAGTACATGATCAAATAACATGTTGGTGAAATCCTCATTTGATTAAAGCTTCCCATTGGCATTCCAATCAAGATGTGAATCAAGGTAATGGGAGGGCCGACTGTGAGGTAATCTGAGAGTGCTGGACTGAGCAGGGAGCTGTTAGGGAGCTAGCAGAAGGAGAGAGAGGGGGAACCATGCATTAGCCTTGAGCCTGCTGCTGCACAAACACATTAAACCAATGAATCTGACGCTGCATCACACAGTGCTCCCTCTCCCTCCCAGTCCAGACAGACAGACATCTGCAGTCCCTCACAAACAAACGAAAAGCCATGAGAGAAGCATTCAAATGAGGCATAGCAAAGTTCAGCTACCCAGTCCTCACACGCATGAGGCCACAAATTATTCAAGTCTGATATGACCCTTGAATCAAATCATGCGGTAGGTGAGGAGAATAAATTATAATGCAGACTCATTGAGAACCAGTGATATCTTCTGCTAGTTCTAGGGCCACAGAAGGGACAAATTGGTCTAAGTTCACTATATAAGTGCAATCAAGAGAACATGAACTAAAACACTGAACTGATATTAATATTCACGGCTACTGTAGAGCACAAGTTGTTATCTTAATACAACACATAGAAAACATAACTCCAGTTTTATGACACCTAATGTAGGTCTGCTTGATTCACTCCCCCAGTTCTTCCCCCAGGGGAATAAGGGCACAGTGGCGAATGCTCCATTATAACAAGCCATAATCCCTAGAGCCGATTCTCAGCTATTCCCCTGACACCAGAACGACATTCACACCTGGACTCTTTCTTCACAAAACCCCTTTGTGATTCTGCTACCGGCATCAGACACAGAACACAGTAAGCAACTGCCGTTCAAGGGGATGACATTCTTGGTTTCACTTAAAATAGAAACCTCAACTTACTTTAAGCTTAGCAATGTTAAAATGCAGTAACAAAAGCCAATGTACAGAACGATTCAACTGAATATCTATATTTCTCTGCATTCAGATAATAACATTGCAGACTTTAAAGTTATCACAATTTACCTCAAGGTTCAAGAATTACACTATATCAGCCCCGTTCCCAACCTACCTTCTCAGTGACACCACGGGCACACTCAATGAGCTCCCTCTTGGAGAAGCTGTCAGTGGGGCTCATCTGCAGGGCCCCAGCCTTCTGAACCAGGTAGATACATCCATGGCCCAGCTCCTGGACCCGAGTCTTAATCTGGAAGCCCACCTGCAAGCACAGCCAGCCAGTCCATCAGTACCACAGAGTCATCTCTCAGAGAGCTGCCATCCACCCACTCACTCCCTCCCTCCCTCCCTTCCCTCCACACAGCAGACAATGCCTCATGTCCTCGACTGACTGACTGACTCTTATCAGGCTGCTGGGTTAACCTGATTCATGGGTGGGTGGTACTTCATTACCAGCATCACTATAGGCTTTTAGGCTTGGAGGGGTACAATGTCACTATGGTAACAAGGATTTCCAGCAGCCAGTTATGTAAAGGCTATTGATAAGAGTGTGTTGTTATTAGGTTATGTTTTCACACATACTGTCGTTAGCAGTCTCCCTCTCATAGCAGAGATTATCTTTAAACACAGACTATGTTGGTGCAGCTGAGACAGGGAGACAGAGGTTTGAGAGGTGAAAATATATTCCAGTTTGATTTCACATTATGGAGTACAGCCTCAAGGAAGATGCATCATATCAAAGAGTGCCATCCACCCTGTGACATACAGTGCATTCGGAAAGTATTCAGACCCCTTGACTTTTTCCACATTTTGTTACGTTACAGCCTTATTCTAAAATGGATTACATTTGTTTCTATTCCCTCATCAATCTACACACAATACCCAACGAAGCAAAAATAGTTTTTTAGAAGTTTTGCCAAATGTATAAAAAAAAAAACAATTGAAATATAACATTTACATAAGTACTCAGACCCTTTACTCAGTACTTTGTTGAAGCACCTTTGGCAGCGATTACAGCCTCGAGTCTTCTTAGGTATGACACTACAAGCTTGGCACACCTGTATTTGGCGAGTTTCTCCCATTCTTTTCTGCAGATCCTCTCAAGCTCTGTCAGGTTGGATGGGGAGTGTCACTGCACAGCTATTTTCAGGTCTGTCCAGAGATGTTCGATCGGGTTCAAGTCCGGGCTCTTGCTGGACCACTCAAGGACATTCAGAGACTTGTCCCGAAGGCACTCCTGCATTGTCTTGGCTGTGTGCTTAGGGTCTTTGTTCTGTTGGAAGGTGAACCTTCGCCTCAGTCTGAGGTTCTGAGCGCTCTGGAGCAGGTTTTCATCAAGGATCTCTCTGTACTTTGCTCCGTTCATCTTTCCCTCAATCCTGACTAGTCTCCCAGTCCCTGCCGCTGAAAAACATCCCCACAGTATGATGCTGCCACCACAGGGATGATGCCAGGTTTCCTCCAGATGGCCTCCCGAATGGCGCAGCGGTCTAAGGCACTACATCGCAGTGCTAGATGCGTCACTACAGATCCGGATTTGATCCCGGGCTGTGTTGCAGCCGGCCACAACCGGGAGACCCATGAGGCGGCGCACAATTGACCCAGAGTCGTCAAGATTAGGGGAGGGTTTGGCCGGCTGGGATGTCCTTGTCCCATCGCGCTCTAGCGACTCCTTGTGGCGGCCAGGCGCATTAACGCTGACTTCGGTCGCCAGCTGTACAGAGTTTCAAGAAGCAGTGCGGCTTGGCGGGGTCATGTTTCGGAGGAAGCATGGCTCTCGACTTTCGCCTCTCCCGAGCCCGTACGGGAGTTGCAGCGAAGGGGCAAGACTGTAACTACCAATTGGATATCACGAAATTTGGGAGAAAAAGGGGTAAAAATACCAAAAATAAGAAAATAAATAAATAAATAAAAGGTTTCCTCCAGATGTCACGCTTGTCATTCAGGCCAAAGAGTTACATTTTGGTTTCATCAGATCAGAGAATCTTGTTTCTCATGGTCTGAGAGTCCTTTAGGTGGCTTTTGGCAAACTCCAAGCGGGTTGTCATGTGCCTTTTACTGAGTGGCGGCTTCCGTCTGGCCACCCTAACATAAAGGCCTGATTGGTGGAGTGCTGCAGAGATGGTTGTACTTCTGGAAGGTTCTCCCATCACCACAGAGGAACTCTGGAGCTCTGTCAGAGTGACCATCAGGTTCTTGGTCACCTCCCTGACCAAGGCCCTTCTCCCCTGATTGCTCAGTTTGCCGGGCGGCCAGCTCTAGGAAGAGTCTTGGTGGTTCCAAACTTCTTCCATTTAAGAATGATGGAGGCCACTGTGTTCTTGGGGACCTTCAGTGCTGCAGACATTTTTTGGTACCCTTCCCCAGATCTGTGCCTCGACACAATCCTGTCTCAGAGCTCTACGGACAATTCCTTCGACCTCATGGCTTGGTTTTTGCTCTGACATGCACTGTCAACTGTGGGACCTTATATAGACAGGTGTGTGCCTTTCCAAATCATGTCTAATCAATTGAATTTACCACAGGTGGACTCCAATCAAGTTGTAGAAACATCTCAAGGATGATCAATGGAAACAGGATGCACATGAGCTCAATTCTGAGTCTCATAGCAAAGGGTCTGAATACTTCCGTAAATAAGGCATTGCTGTTTTTAAATTTGTATACATTTGCATACATTTCTAAAAACCTGTTTTCGCTTCGTCATTATGGGGTATTGTGTGTAGATTGATGAGGAAAACAATTGATTTAATCCAATTTAGAATAAGGCTGTAACGTAACAAAATGTGGAAAAGGGAAGGGATCTGAATACTTTCCGAATGCACTGTATCTGTACATACGGTGCCTTCAGAAATTATTCACACCCCTTGACTTTTTCCACACTTTGTTGTGTTACAGCCAGAATTTTAAATTGATTAAATAGCGATTTTGTGTCACTGGCCTACACACAATACGCCATAATGTCAAAGTGGAATTATGTTTTTAGAAATGTTTAAACATTTATAAAAAAGGAAAAGCTGAAATGTCTTGAGTCAATAAGTATTCAACCCCTTTGTTATGGCAAGCCTAAAGTTTGCTTAACAAGTCACATAAGTTCCATGGACTCTGTGTGCAACAATAGTGTTTAACATGATTTGTGAATGACTACCTCATCTCTGTACCCCACACATACAATAATAGGGGCGGCAGGTAGCTTAGTGGTTAAGAGCGTAGTGCCAGTAACCGAAAGGTCGCTGGTTCTAATCCCCGAGCCGACTAGGTGAAAAATCTGCCGATGTGCCCTTGAGCAAGGCACTTAACTGTAATTGCTCCTGTAAGTCGCTCTGGATAAGAGCATCTGCTAAATGACAAAACAAAAAAAATACAATTATTTGTAAAGGTCCATTGAATATCCCTTTGAGCATGGTGAAGTTATTAATTACACTTTGGGTGGTGTATCAATACACCCAGTCACTACAGAGATACAGGCGTCCTTCCTTACCCCATTGCCGGAGAGGAAGGAAACCGCTCAGGGATTTCACCACGAGGCCAATGGTGACTTTAAAAAAGTTAGAGTTTAATGATTGTGATAGGAGGAAACTGAGGATGGATCAACAACATTGTAGTTACTCCACAATACTAACCTAAATGTCCGCGAGTGAAAAGAAGGAAGCCTGTACAGAATACAAATATTCCAAAACATGCATCCTGTTTGCAATAAGTCACTAAAGTAAAACTGCAAAAAATTTGGCAAAGAAATGAACTTTATGTCCTGAATACAAAGCAATATGTTTGGGGCAGATCCAACACAACACATCACTGAGTACCACTCTTCATATTATTTTCAAGCATGGTGGTGGCTGCATCATGTTATGGGTACGGTTGTAATCGGCAAGGACTCAGGAGTTTTCTAGGATAAAAAGAAACAGAAAATATACGCTGGAGTTGCTTACCAAGACGACATTGAATGTTCCTGAGTGGCCTAGTTACAGTTTTGACTTAAATCGGCTTGAAAATCTATGGCAAGACTTGAAAATGGCTGTCTAGCAATGATCAACAACCAACTTGACAGAGCTAGATTTAAAAAAAAGACAAATAATGTGCAAATATAGTACAATCCATGTGTGCAAAGCTCTTAAGCCTTGTTCACATTGCAGGCCTTAATGCTCAAATCGGTTTTGTTTTTCAAATCTGTTTTGGAATACTGACTGTCCAAACAGCATGTTACAAGCGATCAAATTGTGTGTGTTCAGACAGCAGTCATTTGCTGACATGAATACACTAGTTGTCATAGAAACAACGGGGGTGTGCGCACTGCGCAGTGGTGTAGGCTGATTGGTGGTAGTGCTCGTGGTTCACATCACTCAGAAGTTATGTAGCAAGTTAAGGTGACAACAATGCCTGCCATGGACGTTTCCCAGTTGCTTTGAATGTTCAAAATCATAGTGTAAGAACACCTTTAAAGCCTCAAAGGATAAGATGATCCAACTTTCAAAACAAGTCCTTTTTGGCTAGCCACAGCAGTCAACTAGCTAGCTAGGTAGCGGTTTAGCTTTCTAGAACATTCACTAAGTTGTTTGTAAACAATTAACAAGCTAGTTATCTGCCACATGTTCTTGTCAAACTGTCAACAGAGTAGCTAGTAATCAACAAGATATGCCAAATAAGTCTAAAATCCACTTGAGGGCAAATAAATAAGTCGCATGGCTAGGAATAAGATTTGTATCTGACTTCAAACCACCTACGAAGGTGGTTTGAAATGTGGCTTGAAATATCAAATTCCATGTGAGAACATATTCGAATCGGATATGCAAAAAAATAGGATTGAGTCACTTCAAACTGCAAATGTGGTCCTCTGTAGCTCAGCTGGTAGAGCACGGCGCTTGTAACGCCAGGGTAGTGGGTTCGATCCCCGGGACCACCCATACACTAAAATGTATGCACGCATGACTGTAAGTCGCTTTGGATAAAAGCGTCTGCTAAATGGCATATTATATTATTATTATTATTATATTATATTATTATATATTATAAATGTGAACAAGGCTTTAGAGACTTACCCAGAAAGACTCACAGATGTAATCGCTGCCAAAGGTGCTTCTACAAAGTATTGTTTTTGCTTTGTCATTATGGGGTATTGTGTGTAGATGGGTGAGAAATCAATTTAATAAATGTTGAATTCAGGCTGTAACACAACAAAATGTGGAATAAGTCAAGGTGTATGAATCCTTTCTGTGTGATATTTCTGCATATTTATTTCTAAGCATTTGCAAATCTCTTGCATCTCAAACCTCTTTTGATATGTTGCCCTGTAAAGACATAGGGCTTGCCTATAGGTGCACCACAGAGAAATCGCATTCCATATGCCTTCTTAGAGTTCATAATGCTATATTTTAACTGTGTTTCCTGCTTTGACAGGCACTGTTTGACATCTCACCTCTTCTGGTTCTGCGGTGGCGGCTGCCAGGCGACCTTGGTGGGCTAATTGGCTGTAGTCTACAGTCACCTGAGAGGCTAGGCCACCCAGCTCCTCTGGACACGTCACTGACTTAGTCATCTGTAGACAGTCAGAACAAGGCCATAACATGACATGTTAAAGAGTTTTGATAAAGAGTTTTATACAGCTATAAGGACACATGACATATTCAGGGAGTAGTTGTTTGTGCTCACCATCTCCTGAGTTGTGATGGCGATGGCTTTGGAGTATTTCACCATGGTGGTCTGGTAATCCACAAAGGATCCTTCTGGTTCAGGGGGAGTGCCTTCATCCAACTGCAGAGGAAAAACCACGACTCATTCAATATATTCAATTTAGCTACTTATTGTACTTAATATACACATAAGAATACCAACCAAGCATCTACCACACATTTGAATAAAGCTTTTATTTATTCAATTAATTCTATGCATAAATATGTTGCAGAATGCAGATATCCACAAAAGGCCAGACAATGTGTTAGTTTCTATGCAGAAATAGAAATGGAATTCACTGGGGTGGAAACATATAGAGACCAACATCTGATAGAAGCATTCAGGCAATCAAATATAATTCATTATTAGGAGCTCCATCATCAAGACTGTGACAGATCACAGTGGATGGAGGGTGACAGCCAGTGGATAAGTGACAGCTGTCAGCTCTGAGGCCTGGAGCTGACACTTCCCATGCATCTCACAAATGAGTGTCAGTTAGAGGGGCATGTTTCTCTGCCTGCCCACTGTGGAGGAAACATCTTAAAGCAGTAGGAAGAGATGAGTGTTAACAGCAGAGCTCTACTCCTGAGCTGCCTGTGGCTACAGTACACACATGCGTACACGCATGCACGTGCGCACGCACATATGCACATTTACACACACACACACACACACACACACACACTACTATACAGTAAGACACCCCCTACTGTATAGTGCGCCAGCCCCCACTCACCCTGCCCATGGCCTCAGCGACAGCCTCCACCATGCCTCCCACCATGCCGCCCTCGCTGGCCGCCTCATTCAGCGTCACCATAATGTCGTCCACAGCCTCCTTCATCAGCTGGATAGCCTCTGCTATGGCGTCGTGGGTGTGGGCAGCCTGGACACGCAGTAAACACACCAGACCACCGTGAAACTCAACAATCTTCATCATAACAATATACATGGCGATGCACATGACAATAAACAATATGATATATTGTGGAATGAGGTGCACAGAAATCTATACTAATTTAGTACTGCTCCATTGCTCCAACATGGCTTTTGTGCCCAGTAACATTACCTTAGGATTTCCACCTCCCTCCTTGGCTGCGTAGAGCATCTGCAGAGCGGACTCTGACAGGGTCTTAGTCTGGTCCAGGATGTTCATCTGCTGCTGCTGATCCACGATCTTAGAGGCCAGGCCAACAGACGCCACAATCAGCGGCTCAAAGTAGCTGGCCAGCTGGGTCACCTGGGAGAGGCAGTATCATGTAACAGTATGAGACACAGATTGAATAAGAGGAGTGGCTCTAGGAAAAAGGACTTTCTCCCTATAGGGCAGTGGTCACCAACCGGTCAACTGGTCGATCGCGGAATTACTAGTCGATCACCAAACATTTCTGTAGAAAAGCACTTTATTCGTGTTGTGCTGTTGTCGGTAGGTGCACTTGATTCGGAAGCCCTGCCCACCGGGTAAGCAAAGAGTTCCCATTTTGAACCATTTCATTTGGCTGAAAAGACAAACTCTGCCTGTGGCTAAATCGAGTACGCCTACTGCGCTGGCCAATTGGATAGCTCAAATCACAGTGCCTACAGAGCTTCCATGACCCCGGCCACAGCACAGTTTGATACTAGCCTACATAAGATTGAATACATTTTAAAACCATGACCACAGAGAGACTGTCAAAGAATACAGCAAAGAGCTACTGTTTTTATGAGTGAGTTTATGTCTAATTTCATTCAGCACTGTAAACACTGTTTTTATTCAACTCTATTACAAAACATAAAACATGCTTCTCCCTACTTCCACTCGCGCTGCAGCTGTAATGAATGAGTAGCCAAGTGTATCGATAGCCCTGCGTTTTTATTATTATTAGCAGCTCGTCGTGTTATTTAAATATCAAGGAGCATTTCACTTTCTCTGGCCACTGGAACAACATGAATTTGTCCATGAGGCAGATGCGGTGCTACTTGAATTTCGCCATCAGGTGGAAGACGGTGTTCCCTCTCTCTGGTCAGTCTCACCGGAGGAAAGGAAGGAGAGAGCAGGGACCGTGAGAGTCGGACACTCTGCTGCTCTCTCCCTCCCTCTGCTGAGACTAACAACTGGGAACTCGGAAATCTCCAACTTTCGACTTCCGTGTGTTCAAGACAACTGGGAACTCTGGAAAAAACGAGATCCGACTGGGACTTTTTTGGGGGAACGTTTTTTTTTTCTCCAGAGTTCCCAGTTGTCTTGAAAGCACCATGACCATCAGATGCAGGTCCCATCAGTCCAGTAAAATAAAAAAGCTAATTATTTGCTAATTATTTCAATTTATGCTTGCAAATGCTACACCGACTGATCTATTTTGTAATCAAAGCTCGAGGTTTTGAAATATAATATGGTCTGAGAAGAACAATATTGGCAGGCAAGGCATATAGCCAATATGCTGTGATAATATATTAGGCATACTGCAAAAACCTCATTCTTACAGAACTATTTTCATTAGGTTAATGTAAAAAAATTATGTAAGTCATGTTTATAGAAATTCTGAGCGGTAGATCTCGGCTTGCGAAAGTGATCTTGACTCAGAAAAGGTTGGTGACCACTGCTATAGGGGAATAGTCCCAGCCTAGTACCTTGTGCCCCAGCTGGGCAGCTTCACCCCTGGCTGCAGTATTGATGGGATCGATGAGATGTCCAATCTCCTGCACCGACGATGTCAACTGCTCTTGCAAAGCCTAGGGGAGTGGCAAAGAATTATGAAGCAGAAACTGAAAATGAAAGCTCAAGAAACCAATTATATTGACCATTTGAACTTACTTCTAAAGAGATGTCATCCCTACATCCCTGTAGGCTCTGGCCCACAGCAGCTAGAGAAGCCTGCTCAATGTCCCGGATACACTTGTTGATGTTATCAATGGAGTAGTCACACTCCCTCTGCCCTGGTGCCTTGTCCCTAACAACAGTATCATGATATATATGAACAAGGCAGTACTTTTACAAGCAGGTTATGAATGCAGCATCACAGTTAGGGTTGCAAAGGGAGGGTATATTACTGGAAACCAGTAAACTACCAGAATATTGGTACTGTATCTTTCAAGGATTTGATGTAATCTATCACAAGACATCTAGTGGCCCTTTTGGGTACTTCAGATTATCACAGGTGTATGTAATTATCTCTGGCCCCCTGTGTGGCCTTATCACATGTAAAATATATGAAATAATTAAATAAGATGATTTCAAAATAAAAACATGTGATGACAAAGCTGTAAAACATTATCCTAAATACAAACCATCAACTTAGTGAATACCATTGGTGTTTAATATGAAGATTTCGGCATGAAATATCCTTAATTTTTTTACACACTTATTTATTTTACTATGTCAATATGTATTTGTTGTCAATGTTTCAGCGTCAAACTGGTGGCAGTAGTTGGAAGAGTTGCAGAGTTAATTGAAAATAAGGCCATTGTTGATTAGATGCTTTTTTCATTAATTAGGCTATTTTCTCTTGAACCATATGGTATATCTACTAGAAACTCATGGACAATATGGACACAGATATAAAAAAATTATACTATATATGAATACATTTTAAAACAAGTTATTCAAGTATAAATGACCAAAGTTACTATAGATTACCATAGATTTTCAGTTAATTACCAAAATTACCAAAGATTCCAGTAACTTTGGTAAATTACCATAGCTTTGCAACCCTAACCATGATACATACGAACAAGGCAGTACTTCTACAAACAGGTTATCAATGCAGTATTACAGGACCTACAGTAGGTACATGTTTTGCAAACATGGTCTCTAGAGGTTGACCAGATGCAGATTGTGCTGGAGCTAAGGGGCAATTCACTGTGTGTGTGTCAGATAATGAGGAGAGACACCTCTATTCATGACAGCAGGAGGGACTTTCTCAGTATAAGAAAGCTGCGTAAGCAGCACCAGCAGCACAGCAGATCCTCCACGCAACTCTACCTACTCATCTTTATCAGTGCCCTAGAGCGTTCCTCTTCATAATACATGGGAGGTGGATACCCAGCCACCATAAATTACCATGACAACGCACTGCTCAGTCGAACCGATACTTACCCAGAGCTAGCTGAACTCCCCATCACCCTCAGCCTCAACAGAATAATATCCAGAGCACCATAGTGTCGAACCAGAGGGGTCAGTGCTGACCTGATGGAGGTGATGAGGCTCTTGATGGAGTCGGAGACGGTGCGGGAGTGCCCAGCCAGGATGGACCAGGTGGGTGGGTCTTTGGGGTTGATGATGAGTGAACGGGCGGTCTCCAGGAGCAGGGTGGAGCTGTCCAGCATGGAGCGGGCTGAACGTACAATGGGCTCCTGGGCTGCCGAGCCCTGGACATGGAAGAGAGGGGAGGACAGTGGAGGTGATAGAACACAGGTTAAAGATATCTTAACTAACAGAACAGCTCAATAGCAACATACTACACAGCTGTCCCTGATCTCTTATTATTCAGCCCGACTTCCGATGGATCAAAGGTGTAATCAGAGCCGCGTATCACAGGGGGGATGAGATTAGAGATCCAGCTTTACATAGAGACGCAGAGGCACACCTTCAGTCGTTAAGATGGCAGCCAAAGCCTCCCTCGACAATTATATTAACAAGCTGAAGCTTAGAGCAGCTGTGCTGAGAGAGTGGCTAAATACTGCCCTCCAACTAATTACAGTCATAAAGCTTTTAGTGCTGTGTGAGGACTCTTTCTGCTAGATTGTAACATAAAATACATAACATTTCTCCTTGAGCCACATTATATAAACTAGAGAGAAATAGTATATCAAACCAATTCCCCAAGCTTTCCTGCACAAACAACTCTGTACTGGCTCTATATTTAAGGTTCTATTTCAAGAAAGATTGAATGCCGTAGTTACCAATGTATTCATGGAATCTGTAGGAGTAGCTTTGCCGTTTCGTTTATACTACAGAATATATGAGGAATCAGACAAATAAAACAATGTGACAATATATGCTGAAAAAAAAATAGTCCTCTGAGCAAGAACTGCATTTAAATGTTCATACATTTTCATTGAAGAGCTTACATACAGTGCATACGGAAAGTATTCAGACCCCTTGACTTTTCCCACATTTTGTTACGTTACAGCCTTATTCTAAAATGGATTCAATAATTTTTTCCCCTCATCAAAATACACACAATACCCCATAATGACAAAGGAAAAACAGATTTTTTTTAAATAGAAATGTTTACAAATTTATTCAAAATAAAAAACAAAAATATCACATTTACTTAAGTATTCAGACCCTTTACTCAGTACTTTGTTGAAGCACCTTCGGCAGCGATTACAGCCTTGAGTCTTCTTGGGTATGACGCTACAAGCTTGGCACACCTGTATTTGAGGAGTTTCTCCCATTCTTCTCTGCAGATCCTCTCAAGCTCTGTCAGGTTGGATGGATAGCGTCGCTGCACAGCTATGTTCAGGTCTCTCCAGAGATGTTCGATCGAGTTCAAGTCTGGGCACTGGCTGGCTGGACATTCAGAGACTTGTCCCGAAGCCACTCCTGCGTGAACTTTCGCCCCAGTCTGAGGTCCTGAGCGCTCTGGAGCAGGTTTTCATCAAGGATCTCTCTGTATTTTGCTCCATTCATCTTTCCCTTGATCATGACTAGTCTCCCAGTCCTTCCCGCTGAAAAACATCCCTACAGCATGATGCTGCCACCACCATGCTTCCCCGTAGGGATGGTGCCAGGTTTCCTCCAGACGTGAGACGCTTGGCATTCAGGCCAAAGATTTCAATCTTGATTTCATCAGAACAGAGAATATTGATTCTCATGGTCTGAGAGTCCTTTAGGTGCCTTTTGGCATACTCCAAGCAGGCTGTCATGTGCCTCTTACTAAGGAGTGGGTTCAGTCTGGCCACTCTACCATAAAGGCCTGATTGGTGGAGTGCTGCAGAGATGGTTGTCCTTCTGGAAGGTTCTCCCATATCCACAGAGGAACTCTGGAGCTCTGTCAGAGTGACCATCGGGTTCTTGATCACCTCCCTGACCAAGGCCATTCTCCCCCGATTGCTCAGTTTGGCCGTGCAGCCAGCTCTAGGAAGAGTCTTGGTGGTTTCAAACTTCTTCCATTTAAGAATGATGGAGGCCACTGTGTTCTTGGGGACCTTCAATGCTGCGGAAATGTTTTGGTACCCTTCCCCAGATCTGTGCCTCGACACAATCCTGTCTCGGAGCTCTACGGACAATTCCTTCGACCTCATTGCTTGGTTTTTGCCCTGACATGCACTGTCAACTGTGGGACCTTATATAGACAGGTGTGTGCCTTTCTAAATCATGTCCAATCAATTGAATTGACCACAGGTGGACTCCAATCAAGTTGTAACATCTCCAGGATGATCAATGGAAATAGGATGCACCTGAGCTCAATTTCGAGTCTCAAAGCAAAGGGTCTGAATACTTATGTAAAATGTCCTTGAGTGGCCCAGCCAGAGCCCGGACTTGAACCTGATCGAACATCTCTGGAGTGACCTGAAAATAGCTGTGCAGCGACGCTCCCCATCCAACCTGACAGAGTTTGAGAGGATCTGTAGAGAAGAATGGGAGAAACTCCTCAAATACAGGTGTGCCAAGCTTGTAGCGTCATACCCAAGAAGACTCAAGACTGTAATCGCTGCCAAATGTGCTTTAACAAAGTACTGAGTAAAGGGTCTGAATACTTATGTAAATGTGATATTTCCGTTTTAAATTTTTTTATAAATGTGCAACAATTTCTAAAAACCTGTTTTCGCTTTGTCATTATGGGGTATTGTGTGTAGATTGATGAGGAAATGTTTTATTTAATCCATTTTAGAATAAGGCTGTAACGTAAGAAAAAGTCAAGGGGTCTGAATACTTTCTGAATGCACTTTATCGCACAATACAAAGTCCCCCCCTGAACAAGCAGCTTCACGAACCTCATTGCTGATCTGTGCAGGGATACTAGCAAACTCTGGGTTGGAGGCAAATGTGGATAGATTCTCTACTGCCTCGATGAGTGGAGTTGTAGCGACACGGCACCTGTCTCTGTTCTCCTCTGAGAAGTCACCATCCAAGGCCTGGAAGAAAATAACAGGACATGCCCTAAGCCCCCCATACTCAACTGGTGGACCGTGGACTAAATCCGGACCCAGAAGGGGGTCAATACGGACTGCGGGTCCCGAAAAAAGAAATACAATAATTTAAAAATAATAATAATTTACTCGGTCAGGCTTCGACCCCTGGTATCATATAAACACAGATAAGACATGGAAGAATGAGTAGAATTGCAGGAAATTCGCTTTAAATGAGCAAAATAAATCTTTGCCCCATGCAAAATGTGTAGAACTGCGAGAAATTAGCTTTAAAACTGCAAAATGTTATCTCCGCCAACAAGAGGGGTGTGAACAATTTGGGGTCGCATGGGTTGTGAGGTGGCGGTTTGTTACTATGCCGATAAATTACATTATCCATCCGGACCTTTGCCACCTAGGAAATTTGTGTGACCGGACTAGTACTTGAGTACCCCTGCCCTAAGCCAACACCCCAATGCAGATACACAATAGCGCCATCTTGCTTCATTACTAATGATGGAATTATTTTAATTGAAACAGAGAACATTAATTAATCTAGTATTGCCGAAGGTACAAAGGACAATAATCCCATTTATGAGTGGACCATGGCAGAGAGCACACATACCTTTATAGTTTTGACAAGGTTGGCCGTGGTGTTTGCAACCTCTTTGGCAGACTGAACAAAGTGTCTCCTGGCCACAGGGTTGGATGTCTTGGACGAGGCCAGGCGGCAGGCATTGCAAAGAGCTGAGGTATGCTTGGCTACAATCGTTGCTGCGGACAGAACCTAACAAACAGCCAAACACACAAACAAACAAATGACAAACAAAGCATTATAAACATGGGTAATTTCTCTAAAGAGGCATATTGTGGGAAGAAGTTTGATGTTAAGTTGATGTTCAAATTTACCAAGTAACTATTCGTATAATAGATTCAATGTCAACAAATGTCCCTGCATGAGTCCCACTACATCGGTCTTCTCACCTGAGAGGGGCTACTGGCAGGGTCCACCAGGTTTTGACAGGCCATCTGAATAGCCTGGTTGGCCCGGGCAAACTGGATGGGATCCACCAGCCCCTCATGACCCGATTGGCTGTTTGGATCAGACACACCCACCAGGTAGGAGGCCTGCAGTGTGGAGAGAAGGAGAGAGAGGAGAGAGAAGAGAGGAATGCCACATAGCTTTAGTTTCTGCTAAGGAGAAAGATTATGTTATTAAACATGAACAGAGGGTGAGAGGAATGCTCATGGCTTAGTTTCTGCTTTAGAGACAGCTAGGTGCTGTAACTAAACATGAACAGAGGGTGAGAGGAATGCTCATGGCTTAGTTTCTGCTTTAGAGACAGCTAGGTGCTGTAACTAAACATGAATAGAGGTTTAGAGCTGATAGAGACTGTTGGTTGTGTGCCAGACCCAGGCCCAGGGCTGATAGCAGGGAGGAGTGGGAGGGAGCCTGGAAGCTCCAGACAGTCAGTCAGTGCTAGGCTGGGATCTCACCTGTCCAGCCGCCTCCGTCAACCCACACAGGGCCTTGGACGCCACTCCCACGCAATGCCCAAACGCTGGCACGTCGCCCGTCTTACAGTGCTGGGAAATCCCCGCCATGGACTCTCCAAGAACCTGCACATGGAGAAATGGAAATAAACTTTAAGATTACCTCTTCAGCTGTCTATCACATTACACATCACTGACATTTAAAGTCTATGGTGCATGTGACTTTTGTAAGGCTTTACCTTTGAGTTCTCCATGACACTCTCGATGCAGTCAAAGTAGGAGAGCTCACTGACAGGCTCACTGGGGTTGTCCAGCAATCCTCTTACAGCCTGTACACAGAGGGAGAGGGGCTCAACAATAAGGACAGCACAAGCTACTCTACCAATCTGATACCCACAGTGTTGGGGCAGTAAAATGTGTGCTATATGAAAAAAATGTAATCTGTCTGTTTTGAAGTCATGTTAATCTTTAATTTATAGAGGCAAGTCATGTCGCTAAACATTATTACTTGGTCTTTACTTGGAGAAGAAACCACAGATCTGTTAGTTACATAACAGTATCATTAGTGTTACTCAAGGGGTTGAAATGAATGGTGACTGTCATTAAATGTTGAGCAGGCTCTGTTGATGGATGGATGTAGAGAGAGACAGGTAACACTTGTCAGAGCGGGTGAAGAGGAGGGAACGTGGGCTGAAGGGACTCAAGGCACAGAGGAAGTAAATGACTTAGTCATTATTTCCCATAGAGACAGAGCACTGCTGTGCATACAATAATGTCAATACAGAAACCCACAGCAACATGCATCTCATTCAGTCGTTAAATATCATCCCATTTCATCCATCATGAATGATCTGTACTGGTAAAACATTGCTTTGTCAGAATAAAGAAAAAAAAGAAAGAAAGTATTATATCAAAACCCTTTATTTTGTCTAGACGGAAACAAACATTGTCTAGCCTGAACATAAAAAGGTCTGTGTAGTGTATGGTAAAAAGGCTACCTCCAGTTCTCTCAGAGCGTTGTCACACTCCTTCTGGCCCGGTGCCTGCTGGGTACACAGTGTGATGAGCTGGTTAATACTCTCTGTCACCGCTCTGAAACACAAGGGCAGCAGCACAGGGCTTTTTAGCTCTCACATCTCTTTCCACATGTACACACAGCACACACACACACACCTCTCAGCCCTCCCCTTTACACACGCATGGCAGAGCCCATCACCCCTCTCTCCCTGTGACAATCTAACACTGTACAGTAATGTCAAGGCTGCGCTCAGCCTCCGTGATCACAGACAAGCTCCAGCCATGGCTTCCATCCATCTGCCTAATTAAAGAGAGGGAAGTCAGTCAGGCTCGAAGCCCAGTGCGGCCAGCTGCCTGCCATGTCTCCAGCAGGAGGGATTCTAGCCTACTACCTTCGTCTATCTCTCAGCCTAGTAGCATGCTGTGAGGAGGGCCATACAACCACAGTCACAGCAGAGATGTTTCAGTGCATGGGAATGTACCATGGTACTAGTGTACTCGTCTTGTGTAGCTTTGACTGGAAACTAGGTCAGAATGGCTCTGAATATTGAGCATGTTTTTGTTCTAACTGACTAGCTAATATAGCCACTCCTTAAACTCTTTCTTTGTGCAAATGTAGATCCTCCTTATACTCACTAGTTTGTGATAACAGACATCCTTACACAATGACATTAAGCTCCATATAGAGAGGCCTCACCTTGCTGCAGCAGCTAACAGGTTCTTGGCGTTAGCTGCTCCAGGATCCACTGACAGGGACTTGGCTGCCAGAAGGAGCTTGCTGGATGCCATGGAGATGTTCTTCAGGTTGCCAATCACTTCGATTTGGTCCTCTTGGCACTGCAAAGACAAGGTCACAATACAAGTCAGCTGTTTCTTAGAGAGAAATGTGTTGACATTTTTTACAAGACACCTCTTTCCAGGAAAAGGAAACTGTACTTATTGTCACACTGTCACACCGTCTATGCATTCGAATGGCCTATGAAATTGGCATCAGGTGAACCGTGTTCCCCACCTCAGACAGCCAATTCCCTAACCCTTTAAACCGGATTAAGGCCTGTGTGTCATGCTACAGTGAGGGAAAAAAGTATTTGATCCCCTGCTGATTTTGTACGTTTGCCCACTGACAAAGAAATGATCAGTCTATAATTGTAATGGTAGGTTTATTTGAACAGTGAGAGACGGAATAACAACAACAAAAATCAGAAAAACGCATGTCAAAAATGTTATAAATTGATTTGCATTTTAATGAGGGAAATAAGTATTTGACCCCCTCTCAATCAGAAAGATTTCTGGCTCCCAGGTGTCTTTTATACAGGTAACAAGCTGAGATTAGGAGCACACTCTTAAAGGGAGTGATCCTAATCTCAGCTTGTTACCTGTATAAAAGACACCTGTCCACAGAAGCAATCAATCAATCAGATTCCAAACTCTCCACCATGGCCAAGACCAAAGGGCTCTCCAAGGATGTCAGGGACAAGATTGTAGACCTACACAAGGTTGGAATGGGCTACAAGACCATCGCCAAGCAGCTTGGTGAGAAGGTGACAACAGTTGGTGCAATTATTCGCAAATGGAAGAAACACAAAATAACTGTCAATCTCCCTTGGCCTGGGGCTCCATGCAAGATCTCACCTCGTGGAGTTGATGATCATGAGAACGGTGAGGAAACAGCCCAGAACTACACGGGAGGATCTTGTCAATGATCTCAAGGCAGCTGGGACCATAGTCACCAAGAAAACAATTGGTAACACACTACGTCGTGAAGGACTGAAATCCTGCAGCGCCCGCAAGGTCCCCCTACTCAATAAAGCACATATACAGGCCCGTCTGAAGTTTGCCAATTAACATCTGAATGATTCAGAGGAGAACTGGGTGAAAGTGTTGTGGTCAGATGAGACCAAAATCGAGCTCTTTGGCATCCACTCAACTCACCGTATTTGGAGGAGGAGGAATGCTGCCTATGACCCCAAGAACACCATCCCCAATGTCAAACATGGAGGTGGAAACATTATGCTTTGGGGGTGTTTTTCTGCTAAGGGGACAGGACAATGACCCAAAACACACGGCCAAGGCAACAAAGGAGTGGCTCAAGAAGAAACACATTAAGGTCCTGGAGTGGCCTAGCCAGTCTCCAGACCTAAATCCCATAGAAAATCTGTGGAGGGAGCTGAAGGTTCAAGTTGCCAAACGTTAGCCTCGAAACCTTAATAACTTGTAGAATATCTGCAAAGAGGAGTGGGACAAAGTCCCTCCTGAGATGTGTGCAAACCTGGTGGCCAACTACAAGAAACGTCTGACCTCTGTGATTGCCAACAAGGGTTTTGCCACCAAGTACTAAGTCATGTTTTGCAGAGGGATCAAATACTTATTTCCCTCGTTAAAATGCAAATCAATTTATAACATTTTTGACATGCGCTTTTCTGGATTTTGTTGTTGTTATTCTGTCTCTCACTGTTCAAATAAACCTATCATAAAAATTATAGACTGATCATGTCTTTGTCAGTGGGCAAACGTTCAAAATCAGCAGGGGATCAAATACTTTTTTCCCTCACTGTACATCAACTGCACTCCCACACGATCTATCCAAATTAATGAGCAAAATAACCTGAACAAGAACATCATCAAAGATCTCCTTACGTCTGAATGTGTTAGTGCTCTCGGGGACAATCATGTGCCTAAGTGAATTAGATAAAAAGGTCTAAATAACAAATACATCTAAATAGCCTAAATGCTCACGTGACAGAAACATGTGAAACCACTCAACATTTGACTACCTCAGAGGCATTTCCGTTTTATCCTATTTAACCTAAACTGTCTACCAACAGTATATTCAGGCGTCGTAACAATTATCCACATTTATTTCACAGGGAGATGAATCAGATATACAGTGCATTCGGAAAGTATTCAGACCCCTTGACTTTTTCCACATTTTGTTACGTTACAGCCTTATTCTGAAATGGATAAAATAGTTGTATCCCCTCATCAATCTACACACAATACCCCATAATGACAAAGCAAAAAAAGGTTTTTAGAAATTGTTGCACATTCATTAAAAATAAAAAACGGAAATATCATATCACATTTACATAAGTATTCAGACCCTTTACTCAGTACTTTGCTAAAGCACATTTGGCAGCGATTACAGTCTTGAGTCTTCTTGGGTATGACTCTACAAGCTTGGCACACCTGTATTTGGGGAGTTTCTCCCATTCTTCTCTACAGATCCTCTCAAACTCTGTCAGGTTGGATGGGGAGCGTCGCTGCACAGCTATTTTCAGGTCTCTCCAGAGATGTTCGATCAGGTTCAAGTCTGGGCTCTGGCTGGGCCACTTAAGGACATTCAGAGACTTGTCCCGAAGCCACTCTTGCGTTGTCTTGGCTGTGTGCTCAGGGTCATGGTCCTGTTGGAAGTTGAACCTTCAGCACAGTCTGATGTCCTGAGCGCTCTGGAGCAGGTTTTCATCAAGGACCTCTCTGTACTTTGCTCAATTCATCTTTCCCAGTCCCTGCCGCTGAAAAACATCCCTACAGCATGATGCTGCCACCAACATGCTTCCCCGTAGGGATGGTGCCAGGTTTCCTCCAGACGTGATGCTCAGCATTCAGGCCAAAGAGTTCCATCTTGGTTTCATCAGACCAGAGAATCTTGTTTCTCATGGTCTGAGAGTCCCCTTTAGGTGCCTTTTGGCAAACTCCAAGCAGGCTGTCATGTGCCTTTTACTGAGGAGTGGCTTCCGTCTGGCCACTCTACCATAAAGGCCTGATTGGTGGAGTGTTGCAGAGATGGCTGTCCTTCTGGAAGGTTCTCCCATCTCCACAGAGGGACTCTGGAGCTCTGTCAGAGTGCCCATTGGTTTCTTGGTCTCCTCCCTGACCAAGGGCCCTTTTCCCCCGATTGCTCAGTTTGGCCGGACGGCCAGCTCTAGGAAGAGTCTTGGTCGCTCCAAACTTCTTCCATTTAAGAATGATGGAGGCCACTGTGTTCTTGGGGACCTTTAATGCTGCAGACATTTTTTGGTACCCTTCCCCAGATCTGTGCCTTGACACAATCCGGTCTCAGAGCTCTACAGACAATTCCTTCAAACTCATGGCTTGGTTTTTGCTCTGACATGCACTGTCAACTGTGGGACCTTATATAGACAGGTGTGTGCCTTTCCAAATCATGTCCAATCAATTGAATTTACCACAGGTGGACTCCAATCAAGTTGTAGAAACATCTCAATAATAATCAATGGAAACAGGATGCACCTGAGCTCAATTTCGAGTCTCATAGCAAAGGGTCTGAATACTTATGTAAATAAGGTATTTCTGTTTTCTATTTTTAATACATTTACGAAAATTACTAAAAACCTGTTTTCGCTTTGTCATTATGGGGTATTGTGTGTAGATTGATGAGGAAAATGTTTTAATTAATCAATTTTAGAATAAGGCTGTAATGTAACAAAATGTGTAAAAAGGGAAGGGGTCTGAATACTTTCCGAATGCACTGTATGGGGCTGTTGGAATCTTCTACAGTTAATGATACCTACTTGAGTGTGTCCGGCCATCTCAATGCCGGTGTCCAGGAACTCATCAAAGTCCTCGCTGAATTTCCCAGAAGCCATGGCCAGCTGGCTGCTGGTACCCCGGGATGAGTGGACCACGTCCCCTGCAGAGTGGTTGAGCTCAGCTGCAGTATGGTTCAGCTCACTCTGAGCCTCCTGGAAGGACTTACTGCAGGGAGGGAGCTGGAGACACACAGAAGAGAAACAACTATAGGCCTCAGTACTCCTTCTCATTATAAGTACAGTGAGGGAAAAAAGTATTTGATCCCCTGCTGATTTTGTAGGTTTGCCCACTGACAAAGAAATGGTCAGTCTATAATTTTAATGGTAGGTTTATTTGAACAGTGAGAGACAGAATAACAACAAAAAAAGAAAGAAAAAAGGATGTCAAAAATGTTATAAATTGATTTGCATTTTAATGAGGGAAATGAGTATTTTACCCCCTCTCAATCAGAAAGATTTCTGGCTCCCAGGTGTCTTTTATGCAGGTAACGAGCTAAGATTAGGAGCACACTCTTAAAGGGAGTGCTCCTAATTTCAGCTTGTTACCTGTATAAAAGACACCTGTCCACAGAAGCAATCAATCAATCAGATTCCAAACTCTCCACCATGGCCAAGACCAAAGAGCTCTCCAAGGATGTCAGGGACAAGATTGTAGACCTACACAAGGCTGGAATGGGCTACAAGACCATCGCCAAGCAGCTTGGTGAGAAGGTGACAACAGTTGGTGCGATTATTCGCAAATGGAAGAAACACAAAATAACTGTCAATCTCCCTCGGCCTGGGGCTCCATGCAAGATCTCACCTCGTGGAGTTGCTATGATCATGAGAACGGTGAAGAATCAGCCCAGAACTACACGGGAGGATCTTGTCAATGATCTCAAGGCAGCTGGGACCATAGTCACCAAGAAAACAATTGGTAACACACTACGCCGTGAAGGACTGAAATCCTGCAGTGCCCGCAAGGTCCCCCTGCTCAAGAAAGCACATATACAGGCCCGTCTGAAGTTTGCCAATGAACATCTGAATGATTCAGAGGAGAACTGGGTGAAAGTGTTGTGGTCAGATGAGACAAAATCGAGCTCTTTGGCATCAACTTAACTCGCCGTGTTTGGAGGAGGAGGAATGCTGCCTATGACCCCAAGAACACCATCCACACCGTCAAACATGGAGGTGGAAACATTATGCTTTGGGGGTGTTTTTCTGCTAAGGGGACAGGACAACTTCACCGCATCAAAGGGACGATGGACGGGGCCATGTACCGTCAAATCTTGGGTGAGAACCTCCTTCCCTCAGCCAGGGCATTGAAAATGGGTTGTGGATGGGTATTCCAGCATGACAATGACCCAAAACACACGGCTAAGGCAACAAAGGAGTGGCTCAAGAAGAAGCACATTAAAGTCCTGGAGTGGCCTAGCCAGTCTCCAGACCTTAATCCCATAGAAAATCTGTGGAGGGAGCTGAAGGTTCGAGTTGCCAAACATCAGACTCGAAACCTTAATGACTTGGAGAGGATCTGCAAAGAGGAGTGGGACAAAATCCCTCCTGAGATGTGTGCAAACTTGGTGGCCAACTACATGAAACATCTGACCTCTGTGATTACCAACAAGGGTTTTGCCACCAAGTACTAGGTCATGTTTTGCAGAGGGGTCAAATACTTATTTCCCTCATTAAAATGCAAATCAATTTCTAACATTTTTGACATGCGTTTTTCTGGATTTTTTTGTTGTTATTCTGTCTCTCACTGTTCAAATAAACCTACCATTAAAATTATAGACTGATCATGTCTTTGTCAGTGGGCAAACGTACAAAATCAGCAGGGGATCAAATACTTTTTTCCCCTCACTGTACATACTGTAAATACTCATTATTAGTATCATTTGTAACATTAAAAGGCCCAGTACAGTCAAAAACGTAATTGTCCTGTGTTTGAGGGTTGGGTTAAATGCTGAAGACACATTTTGGTTGAATGCATTCAGTTGTGCATATATATTAAACTATGAGGTTGGAATAATACTGTGAAATTGTGAAAATGATGATAATGCCCTTTCAGTTTAAGAGCATTTGAAAAGACCGCCTGACATTTTAGCCTGTTTTGCTGGGATGGTGTTTTGGCCTGCCTGGTAAATTTGTTAATAGACCAATAAGAAAGAGAGTTCCAAACCTCTCTGCCAATAACAGCTAGTTTTCAGTTTTCCCCTTCCCACTCAGACCACTCCCAGACAGTCCTAGCAAAATTTTTGCTTGAGAAAGTTATCTTCGGTAAGAAGCTATTTTTGTTTCTTTTCGACCATTTTAATTAAAAACAATACTTGAAAATAGGTACTTAATTGTTAACGAGAAATGATTGGATATTGAAATAAAAATGGCTGTAGATCATAATCCATATCATATTTGGTCTTATGTTTATGTTAGAATTTGCCCTGGATAGATGTGAGATGCCTGTATAGATGATTAATGACTCCAGTAATGAATGGTAAATGTGTGTTAAGGTTAAGGACAGCATTGCCGTGCTCTTCTATAAGCCCTTATATTTAGGTTGTGTATAAGACAACACTCCAAACTGCAGCCTCGTGCATCTGGCAGCAGGACTCACAGTGTCCACCAGCAGTTTCTTGCTGGCCTCTCCGATGCTCCTTAGGGCCATGTCCACATCCTTCTGGCCAGGCAGGCAGTTGACACAGTTATTCAGAGAGTGGGACACTGCCCTGGCCACCTGCAACACAGCACAGATAAGCCTGTCAGTGTGCTGACAAATGTCCACAGTGTCCACAGTCCCTGGGCACAGCTATGAAAACGAAAAACATATCAAATGCAAATCAGCCTGCAAGCGGAGAAGGACAATCCATGTCACAAATGTATGCTACTGTCACAGACAGTTTATTATAATAATAATAATAATATAATAATAATAATAAGCCATTTAGCAGACGCTTTTATCCAAAGCGACTTACAGTCATGTGTGCATACATTTGTACGTATGGGTGGTCCCGGGGATCGAACCCACTACCCTGGCGTTACAAGCGCCATGCTCTACCAATTGAGCTACAGAGGACCCTGCATACAGAGGATCTATGCATAGTCACTTTAACTCTACCTACATGTACATATTACCTCAATTACCTCGACTAACCTGTGCCCCCGCACATTGACTCTGTACCGGTACCCCCTGTATATAGCCTCACTACTGTTATTTTACTGCTGCTCTTTAGTTATTTTTTATTTTTTAGTTATCTATTTCTTACTTAACACTTATTTTTCTTAAAACTGCATTGTTGGTTAAGGGCTTGTAAATAAGCATTTCACTGTAAGGTCTACACCTGTTGTAATCGGCGCATGTGACAAATAAAATGTGATTTGATTTGATATGCCAACCAATATGTTTATCTCCCAAAGGCCCTGCTGCAAATAAGCAGTTGTCCTGCAGCTAGCGTTCATGTGAGAGGATCGCTAAGCAGGAGACAGAGGAAAGAAAATAGCAACACTTAAAGCAGATAATTGTTATGGAGAGTAGCAGTGTTTACAAATCAGTTATCAGCCAGAAAGCAGAGGAGAGGAAAGATCCTGACAGAAAAAACTGTGCTTGGAACACGAACCCAATTGTCTAGGAGTAAGACGTCAATACAGTCAGTCAGCGAGTTCCTCACCTGTGCTAGCCTCTGCTGACTCTCTGTGTCGCCAGGGGAGACCAGGGCCTGGTGGGCCTCATGGATGAGCATGGCAGATCCCTCCATGACGTACTGGGCAGAATCCAACATGGCCGCCGCAGACTGGGGTTCCTTGGTGCTGGCCGCCACACCTCTGGCTGCCTGGGCCAATGTCCTCAAGGCCTGGGCCGTCTCCCTGGCAGCTACGCCTACACATGACAGACAGACAGATGTGGAAGTGAGTGGACGTGTGGGAGTTAGAATAACAAAGCTAGTCCAGGAAATAATGATGGAAAACCTGGTGTCAACGTCCCACTGTGCCTCATTATTGTTCTTTAAGATGCAGCTAAACAACCTACTCTGCCTCTGGCTAGCTACATCATGATTTATTCACTAGCCAAACTCCAAGCTGTATCCTACCTCATTTCAATCTCATTATCCCTTCACTAAATATGTCCTTACACAAAAATATGTACATACACACATTCAAGGGTGCAGCTTTAGTGTTCAGAATGAATAGAAAGAGTTGTTGGTAATGTGTAACTGAACAGTAGGAACAGCACGGTGAGCCCAATCTAAAGCACCCCTATTGTTAAAACAAATGAGTTAGATAGGAGATGAGGCACCATGTGGGATTGGGGCTTTACTTATTACACACAAAGCAGAGATGAGGGAATGCAGCAAATCACATCAAATTGCATTATCCAGCCGAGTGGAGCCACTGCTGATGGAATGTTAAATCTAGTGAAAATAAGATGAATGAGAGAGAGAGAGTAGCACCCTGAGTCCCCAGCTTGAAGCAGCACAGCCTGGGAGGGAGGAAGCAGCCATTGTTAGAATACACTATTCAAAAATGTGTCTTTATCAATTCTCCTGAGAGACTAAATGGAGCTAGAATGAAGGCTAAAGAAAATGCCCAGCTGTGCAGCAGAACCCATCGGGTTTATTCCTCCCTCATAGGCAATAGTGATAACAACATCACTAAATCAAGAATTGAATTACACTTGGATATCTATTGGTGGAGGGAAAGCGAATGCCTGTCAGGGTTTCTGCTGCCTACTTGTCCTCTTTCACCCCACTTGGTAGAGCTTTACTGGGACCCTTTAGTTGATTGTGACATTTTGCAAACTGTTCCTAATATCATCTAATACTATCTAACCAAAAGGACAGAAAATAATCAGTAGAGTCCAAAACAATCTACACAGACACTCAATGAAGTCTGCCTTGAGTTTAGGTGAACATTCCTCTTGTACTGCTCAATCATTGGCAGTGCACTCTCTCTGTGTTTGATTTCCTACCTGTGTAGTGCTCATTGCCCTGGGCAGCACAGGTCAGCAGCTGAGCCATGGAGGAGCCAACAGCCTTGGAGGTACTACCCAGGTCCTGGGCACACTTCTCTAGCTGTAGGGATGACACAGGAGCACCAAGTCACGCCTTTTCACACATCTGCAGATTTGCTTTGCATGATTGGCACAAATCACTGTATTCCAAATGCTCTATATTGGACTTGGTTATGCTAATGCACTGACCGATTCCCCAGGAAGTGGTTTGAGCTGTCCATCGTGTGCAGCCATCCTGGCATCTTGAAGCTCACTCCTCAGAGTTTGGACAGCATTGAGGGCATAGTCTATCTCCAATGGACCACAGGCTTCATGGGCCTACACAGACACAAACCTTTCTCAAACAGAGTCCAGAGGCTGTCTGAGCTGTATGAAAACATGGCCTTCAGTAGCTGTGGATAGGGGGTTAAAGGACTTACCTTTTGGGTGGCTGTCCGTAACTCAGCTAGGCAGGTGGCCAGGTTCTTGGCACATTGGCCAAGTTGCATTGCTGCAGCCTGGTCCGTCACTGTGGGGACGGTTGACTTTGCAGACGTCACCATCTTACTGCCAGGCTGTAGGAAGCTCTGGCTGGCCATGATAAGCGCTATCTGGGCACTGAGCTCCTCTGGCTGGGCCTGGTTACTCCTCATCCCCTGGACCAGCTGAGGGATGTGGTTTGCCACTGCCTACAAGTACACATATCATTTGATTAAACCAATGTAATGAAAACAGCAATATAAATGCTGCCAATATAGCAACCGGCTAGTGATAGGATTGGTTCAATAGTGTACAGATGTAGGATCTTAATTTGGTCACTCTTTTGTTGCTGAGAATTTTTTGCAACGCAAGAAATGCATATGAGCTTCGTGATTATTTTGCTGTGACAATATAGGTCAAATTAAGATCCTAGATCTGTAGGTATTTCCACAAAAGTGATCCAAGAGTGATATTGTTCGCTGTGGGTCAATCTCTATCCATATTACTGTACCTGGCAGCTGTGTACTAGTTGTTGATGAGAGGCAGTGTTCTTATTGGACGCAGCAGCATTCTGGGCAGCTGCGATGGTCTGAGTAGCAGCAGCCGCAGCCTGCTTAGCAGCAATCTGTTCCAGAAACAGAGAGAGATATTGATAGAGGTTTATTGTAGGTAAATGGCTTACATCAGATACATAGAAGAGGGTCGTGTAGTACTTATTTGTATACAGTATCAGATTGAGCTTCCCAGATAGATCAAACACAATGAGGGGTCACAAACTAAGCCAAAGAGTTATTTCAGAATTTTCCAGTGGACATCGACACCTGACAAAAAATGACAACTTTTTGTGGAATCCAAGTCATTGAACATTTCCTACTACTGTATTTTGGGACGAGTACAACATTGTCTCAACACGCAATGTTGACAATTCATAAAATACACAAGCAGTGTATAATACATGTTTTCTACTGCCATTAATCCACACAGAGGTGACATCCTTTGAAGTATCAACAAAATGGAAATCGGCAAGAGGAAAGACATTCCAGGTTTTGTGGGCGGAAGGATGGCGGATGAAACAAGAACCTGAACAACAATGCTATCTTTGTCCTGGGGAAAACAAACAGACTGCACAACGCAAGAGGAGAGGAGGGAGATGAGTGGCGGAGAGAGAGAGAGGAGAGAGAGCTGGCGAAATGTATGGACTACATATTTATCACGCTCCCAAGAGCACAGCATGCTGGGAAGAATACAATACATATGGCTATGTGTGGAAACCTAAACAGATATAAAGCTTTAGGTGATCAGTAGGAGAGATTTCAGCCATTTGAGTGGGCAGGTGGAGGTATGCTCTCAGTTAATCTAAACCCATTACATTCTAAATGGTTTTTATTATCTCTGTATCCTGTTTGGGGTGGAACCCATTACTATTACAGGCTGCAGAGAGAGAGAGAGATGTGCATCTATGATAGAAAACGGATTCCAGCCTTGGGTTAGTGAGCAATGGAAGCTCCAAATGACTGAAGTGAGGGTCTTGTCATTAGGGACTGATTCATACTAAAGGGCTAAACCCAAATCTTTACACTACGATTAACTCATTCACACAACTAATGGACTTCACATCCTCCTGCTGCAGGAGAATAAATAAAGTAGAAAATATGCTAAATATGCCTCATTTGTGCAAATTAATTCTAAATTATTTCAGCCTTTCGCTATGCACTTCCCAAGGCTTGGGGGGAGATCCATCCATCTTCACATAGATCTAGGTAGTTCAATCTGACACACACTCTCCTCTTTAATCGTGTGTCATGGTGTTGGATGGACTTATGGGGTTTGTGAGGAAGGACAAATGTTGATTGCTACAAAGCTACAGCAGGACAGGGTCTCAATGGTAGCACAAAGGTTACAATGTGCTCTCGTTCTCCCTCCACCCACCTCCAGCCTGTTGACCAGCTTCTTCTTGATGGCGTTTTGAGCTGCAGCGTTCGTGGCAACGCGTAACCCCTCTGCTGCCTCTCTTAGCCTCTGCTGCTGGTCCTCATTCTCTGGGTACGCTGCAGCCCCCTGTTCACACAGACATGCATGCAGACATGCACACACAGACATACACACACACAAACACATACACACATAAGCACGTACGCACACATGAGAGAGGGTTTGATCTTCCCTTTGCCACTGCAGAACTACGATTGTATTTAGTGGTGTTCTTGCTTGCTATGTCTGTATAGCAAGCAAAAACACCACTAAATACAATCGTAGTTCTGCAGTGGCAAAGGGAAGATCAAACCCTCTCTCATAGTCTCAGTAGCACTCTAAATATTTCCCCAACACCGTGACTGTATATTAAATGCAGAGGCATTAGGCTCTGTCTGCTTTCTGACAGTTTCCAAGGAAACCGTCAGTGCAAGAGTCCCATTTCTTCTTTGTAACAGCAGCGGATTCGTGATGAATGTGTCACACGTTTCACTTGCCTGGCGTTTTCACATTGATAATATCCTGCTCATTTATACTTGTCTACAGCTCCAAGGGCTTATTAAGAACCATTGGTGCTGCCCTTTCATTATTTCCTCTCTAAAGAGATGCAATGGCTCAGACTACAGCAGGAATACTGAAAATCTCCTTTCTATCAAATTATATAAGTAGAATTCTAGTTTTAGTTGCAGACATGACACTAATGATAATACACTAATATGACATACTGTAAACTAATGGCATACACTAATCCTTCCGAGGATTATAATAAGCATAGCGCAGTGGTCTTCCGTCTTAGTACCTTAGCAGCCTCTACCATCCTGGCCGTGGCATCAGCCAGGAGTTTAGCTGCGGCTAGCAGCTTCTTAGAGTTGTCCACGTCAACCTCGGCCTCAGCGTCTGACCTCATGGCATTGACAAGGTCCGACGTGGCCTGAGCCAGCACCCTGGCCTGACGCACCATCTCCCCTACACAGGGTCACAGAGAAAGAGAGAGATCAGAGAGGAGAGACCGACATCAATACCTCCCCACTGTGCTATCGCCACAAAAACATGGCCTAGATTACTCTCTGATTACTGATCCCTCATTGGGCCTCACACACACTACACGGCTTCCTTTTCACCTTCTGGTATCGTACTCACAGTATCACAACAGTTTCCTTTGGCATTCTCCACTCTGGTTATAAAAAATAATATTTCTTTATTCTTGTATTCCTTCACAAAAATACACATAAAATCACTAGAAAGCTGCTATAGTGCTGTTTAGAAGCTACCATATTTCCCCCAGTCAGCCTATAAAAAACTGTGATTCCTAAACACTCACCTACAGCTAGAAATAACTAGAGAGAAGACTATCAAACGCATGACATCCAGGCAACTTTACATCCTACAGTATTTACAGACAGAAATGGTCTCCATCAGTGAAATGGGACGTTTAAAGACATATTTCATAATAAAGGATACTTGGCTGAACTACAGCAATTAAAAAAAAAACTATAATTTATGAAAGTCAGAGTGTTAAAGGGATACTTCAGGATTTTGGCAATGAGGCCCTTTATCTACTTCCCCAGCAGATACCCATAGACTTCCAGTCATTGCGCTAATGCTAGTTAGCACTGGTTGCGAAACTACCTCTAACTTAACTTCCGTTATACTGGACACAGAGACATAAAAATAGTATCCACGAGTTCATCTGACTCTAGGGAAGTAGATAAAGGGCCTCATTGCCAAAATCCCGAAGTATCCCTTTAACCCTCCAAAAATGGTCAGGTCATATGTTTTCTTTTAAGTTTCAAAGCACCATTGAACAGTGATTGAGACCAGATTTGAAGCTCTGTAGTGGTTTTCGATGACATGTTTTCTACAACCCCTTGAGGATAGGCTGGGATTAGGAATTCTTCAGACTCATGGCGAAACATAACAAATACTTCAGTCTTTGAAAATGTTTCAACAGCAGGGTTTTGAAGGTCAGTTAATATAAACCATAACCTGACAACATCTTCAGTCCCACTCAGTCAAAATACATGGGAACAACCCCAGTGAAAGTCTCAGGAAAAAAAGACTAAATACTGGTACCTACTTGAGTGATAATTCTTACTTACTATGTCCTTGGATAATAGCTAGCTAAAGGTTTGAAACTCAAACTGCTGGATGCCAGAACTGTGAAAATACTTGCAAGATTAATCAAAAGAGTGAAAGGTTCTCTCCCCACCACCAACAAAATAGTTATCAACCACTTCCCTCCCCTCCGCACTAAACCCGTCTCTCCCCTTATCACACCTCCCCTCCCCTCCTCTCCTCTCCCAGAGCTCACCTGCATCTCCCATGGACGTGAAGATGCTCTCAGTCACGGTCATGATGGTGTCTGTGGCCTGGTCGTAGCGTCCGATGGGCTCACCACAGCTGGCATAGTGGCGTACGTGCTGCAGCAGGTCACTGAGTGCCTGGCTCACTGTGTTGGCCGCGGCACCCACCTGCTTCAGCAGCTCACCTTCGTCTGTCGCCGCCAGGCAGGCCTTGACACAGCTCTCCACCGAGCGGTCCACCAGCTTCCCTGCCTCAACCAGCTGCTCCTGGCACACCGGGGAACTGATGGTGGGACTCACCACCTGGACGAACACAGTCCACAATCTCTAGTGGCCACTTTCAAAATACAACACATTCAGAGATGCTAGGCCTAGGGCAGTGGTCACCAACCTTTTCTGAGTCAAGATCACTTTCTGAGTCAAAATGCAAGCCGAGATACATTGACATAAAAAACATAAGTCAATTCAACATGAACCTATTAAAAACAGTTCTGTAGCAATGAGGTTTGTGCAGTATGCTATAGGCTCAATACATTATCACTACATATTGGCTATGCTTGAATTGCCCTGCCATTGCATTGTTTCAAAATTTCAAAATTATATTTCAAAACTTGAGGTATATGATCACACCGATAATAGATCAGTTGTATTACTTGTGAGGCACAGCTGAGTGAGCATACATTTAAATAATTTGCTTTTTTTTATTTAACTGGGCTGGTGCCTGAAATGCATCTAATGGTCACTCTCAGCAGAGGGGAGAGCAGCAGAGGGTCCGCCTCTCAACGTCACTCTGCCCTCCCTCCCTCCCGCCACTGAGACTGATATTACTCAATATTAAAAAAGACCCAAGCTAATAATAATAACAACACAAGCCTATCGATACACTTTCCTACTCATTCATTGCAGCTGCAGTGCTGTTTGTAGCACAACTTAAACATTAACTCACTCATAGAAACAGCAGCTTTTTGCTGTATTCGTTGACAGTCTCTCTCTAGTCATGGTTTAAAACGTTTTGAAATTTCACAGTATCAACTTTGTTGTGCGCTCGAGGAAGCTGCAGACTGTAATCTGACGTATCAGATTGGCCAGTGGTAGGCCAATAGGTGCACTTGATTTGCTCTCCAGGCCCACCGGGAAGGCAGAGTTTGTACCTTCAGACAGACACATTCAATGGTTCAAAATGGGAACACTTCGCCTACCCGGCAGCTGAATCGGGTGCACCTACCACCAACAGCGCGAGACGAAATAGGAATGCAAGGCTTTATCATTGGATTTCTTGCAGAAATGTTTGGCGAGCAATTAGGAATGCCTTGGAGATCGACCAGTCGATCACAATTGACCGGTTGGTGACCACTGGTTTAGGGGACTCATTTAGGTGTGTACAAGACTGATAATGCTATTCTTGACATAACTCATTTAGTATAGGGTATAGTCTGTGCTGGAAATCAAGAGATAGGACAAACACAGCCATTTCAGTTCAGTAAGCCAGGTCTTCTCCTATCACCAGTCCTTGCCCTGAGCTGCCCTCCATGGCTACAGGAGACAGGGAACAGGGGTGTGGGCGTCAGTTGGAGCAGTACCTTGGTGCAGGCCACCAGCTGTGAGGTGGACAGGGCACACCGAGTAGCAGCTGCAATCACTTGGTTCTGCAGCACCGTGTCCTCTGCCACCTGGGCCACGTTCTTGGCCTTGAGGACCATCATGGCAGCTGCGTTGGCCACTGCTTTGGCCAGGCTCATCAGAATGTCCTGAAACAAACTCATCAACGTCACTCACTCAGCCACAGCAGAGCTAAGCAAACGTGACTGGAAGGACTGAATAAGGACATTTTCATTATGTGGTCTCAACTCTGGTAGCTATATAGCTGTATAGTTAGTATGCAGAAACAGTGGAAATACAGGCATTCTCTCATGAGGGATTTGCTGTCCACTCAATTACAATAGCTAAAGAAAACAAAGCCTGATACCATTACATAAGTGTATGTGCAGCTTTAAACAGGAACTGGGAACATGCGTGTTTTCCTGTTTGGCAGCGGAACTATAGAAACAGTGAGTAAAGTGCAGTCCAACCTGGAACCTCTCGTCAGTCTCGCCCTCCCCCATGTGACGCAGCAGGTCCCCGCTGGCCTGGCCTATGCTTCCTGCTGCAGTGAGCACCATCTGTCTGGGCTGCATGGGAGAGGATGACATCACCACATTCACAACACTGACCCCACCGCGGCACCACAGCCCAATCACAGAACTTGGCTGTTCTCAGACACAGTTCACATCACGAACCAAAATAGCTCCCAGTGATTATATCTACAGGACACATAATTATTGTGTCCTTCAACTGTTTTAGAAAACATACTATAGAAACACACTAGTGCCTTTGTTAAAAAGGCAGTACACATGCAGGTCTTATTAATCTCTGTGTAATCATTGCAATAAGGAGAATAGAACAGATGTGATGGTTAGAACAGTGCTGTGTTGTGTCTGTACCTCTCCAGCCGCAGGCTCCACAGACCTGAGCAGGTCAGAGACGGCCCCTGTCAGGGTCCTGGCAGCTCCCATCAGGTTCTGCCCGCTGCCCACCTGGTCCTCCACCAGCGCTGCCAGCAGCTTCACCCCCCTAGACATCTCTGTCAGGTTGGAGGAGATGGTTGTGATAGCACAGCCCACCGCCGTGTAGTCTGTGTCTGTGGGGTCACCTAGAGAAGAGAGAAAATCCTTGTTAACCCTTTCCAGTGCCTTCTGCTCTGCCTCTGACACAGTCTCCACTCTCTCAGCCCAAACCACAAGCAGCAACCTTGGTGGTGTCATAATACACACATCAGTGTCACCATCATAATGAAAACACATTGGATATGCTACTGTGGAGATAAGTACAGAGAAAGTGAGAAGTGATAGTCATTTGTGGAGAGGTAAACGTTTCTATTGGATGATAACAGGGAGCCTCAGTGCCATCCAACAGATGGCTGGGATAGATTAAAACTTAACAAAAGGCTGGCAGGGAGCAGTGTGGAGCAGCATGGCACAGCTCCAGCCAGGGAGAGGAGGGAGAGGCTGCCATCCAGTTCAGATTCAAGACAACACAATATTTATTCCATCAATGGAAAAATGTATTAGGGCAAATGGGAAATGCTCCATTATGTAAAGGGAACTCAGAGCCCCTCCTCTCTGAGTGCTCCACACTGACTCGGAAAACGTGTGTATTGATTCTATCCCTATGGGTTTGCATTTGAAGATAAGCGCCTTTTCTCTCAAGCTAGGTCTAGAGGCCTTTAGAAAACAAGGATTCCAGTGCAAATATAACAGAAAACTCTACATGAGTACATGGTTCAAAATGTCAGTAGGTAACCTCTTGCACTCACCTGCTGTAAGATTAACCACAGATGCCGTTCCGGCTGTTATGGCATCTACTTGAGAGTGGATTTCATGTTTGGACTCATCCACTTTGTTCTGAACCCAAACTCTGGACGCCTTTCAGGAGAGGGAGAAGGACGGGTATTAGCTTTCATCAGAGTGGGAGATTTTCAACTCATATAAACTTTATTATCAGTGATTAAAGGACTAGGGTTTCTTCACAACTCCTACAGCTTTTGAAGCACCAGTCTCGAGCTTTAAAGTACATCTTTCATATTTATAGTCAATTTCCACCACCTAATTACACGTGGAACATGGGAGTTCAAATGGAATTTAAAATAAACTCAGAGCTTCTCTATGCTTAGCTTAGCAAACCAACACAGAGGGAAAATGCCAAAATTGCATCTTTAAAAAAAAAGACATTCAATGGGATTAATAATTGTATCTATTTTCCAAAAACAACCTAAAATAGCAAATTAATCTTCACTGACCAGGATGCATTGACCAAAAGGTTCTGAGTGTTTGAAAAGTTTTGAATGGTGAGATTTTGTGGCTGTAGTGTATAAAGGGATTAGTCTAGTGAATGGAGGTGGGAACTCACCATGTCCTGGCCCAGAGGAGGCAGGTTATCTACCTCCCCCAGATCAGCATGGGCCTGCTGCACCGCCTGCATACTGGTGTTAATGGTCCCCATCAGGGCCTGCTGGGCCAAGCTCTGACAATACATACACACAGAATTTACAGATTTTTATACACAAACACAAAGATCGTAGTTAGTGATGGTGTAAGCAAGGTTCTCTGCACATCACTGCTCCTACTGTTTGACATTGGCATGGGTGCCAGCGGGCATGCTCACCAGTGGGGGCATGTGTCCTCTGTGCATCTGCCCTGTGGTGATCTGCTGCTGTGCAGAGGGCATGGTGCCCATGTTGAAGGTGTTGTCAGGGCCGCCGATGGACCCAGAGCGGATGATACCTGGCAGTGCTACCGAACCATGCTCCACACGACCCACCCTGTTGAACTGCTGCTGTAGGATGGTGGACCTGAGAGGAGAGAGAGAGAGAGAGAAAGAGAGAGAGAGAGAGACAGAGAGAGAGAGATTTGGACCTTTACAGGACAACCTCTGACAAGGAATGTCAATGCTCATTATTTTCTCCCTAATAATGGGACAGTAGTAACAAAGCCATTACAGTGAGTTAGCACCGATAGGCACTGAAACACATGAAAAGCGCTATTCTCTGCCCTTGTCAACAGAAGCCACACTCACTATTGGTTAATTACTGCTTATGTTGAGAGGCAGCAATTATGTTCTGTGCTGAGAACAAAAACATGAGTCCATTGGCACCTAAACAGCAGGGAGTGATATGATGCCCAGTGTCTATCACAGCAGGATCCGCTATGAGACAAACAGATTTCCAATAACAACCTGTGTCTGGGTTTCGCGTGACAGGACAAGAGTCCATCTGTATTAGGGAGTCTTTAGGAGTCTGGCTGCAAGGCCAGGCCAGGAGGAAAACTAGGCAACTGGGATGAACTCAGTGGAGAAAAAAATTTTTTGCTTCCAGGAACATGATATCTTCATTCATGTCTTCCTGATGATTTCGTGCTTTTTTTGCAGAATAATATAGCTGTCTTGCCCTGGGGGCTTTTTCTTATGGAGGTTAGGAAAAATTAAAAGCTAACATTCCTGAAGGAGAGAGGGACAACAGAGGGCATTCTGGGATAGTGTTTCAGAGAACATGTTAACTCACAGATACTATACAGTATGTTATAGGTAAATTCAGTCTAACTCATTTTGTGTTCTTTTTCTAAGGGGTGGAATGCGGGGCAGGCAGAAATGTGATTATATGCACAATTAAACCAAGGTTTACATTCACATGAGGAACTAGTCTGTAGTTTCTGAATATGGCTGGTCAGCATTCTCAACGTAAATGGGACTACACCCTATTAAGACCATTTAGTATGTGCATTATGAACCTTTCTTACTTCTTTGGAGAGACCGATTCCTCTAGCATGGTGGACTCCTCATCTCCCTCCAAGCCAAAACGATCCTTACTCTGCTTCTGTGGAAGGGAATATCAAAAGGTGTCATAATAAAGAAAATACAGTACTTGGGAAGTGTCATTTCTGGTTTGGTCATTTCTGGTTTGGTAATTTCTGGTTTGGTCATTTCTGGTTTGCCTTGACTTACCTTTTTGAGGATGATGTCGATGTATCCTGCAATTAGCTGAGAAATCTGTTCCCCCTCTGTGGTCTGAACAGAGTAGTAACTCTCCTGGTACTCCCCAAAGTCCTGCAGGGTACAAGCAGATAGTCAGAAGAGATACTGAAGTTACAGCACAGGTCCACTAAAATGGACGCCTCTCGTAGCAATATCTTCATCACATAACTAATCTCCATCTGTCAGTACATAGGCCCACAGTATCCTGGTGATACCTCTAGGAAATGGAGAAGTGTGTGTATGTCGTATGTGGAGTACAGCAGCTTTCTCAGAGATCAAGGTTGAACCAGGGCCTTCTAATTTCACAAGGTGTCACAGCTCTTTGTCATGCTGTGCTATACGTTCACAAAGTTTATTTCCATCCACACAAGCACAGGAAGATGTGGGAGTACTGAGAAAGAAGCTTTGAATGGACTAAAGGTATGTCGGCAACACCTTCACCATTCCTTCTCCTAATGAACAGACACACTTTGACTCCGTTCCACTACGATTCTGAGTCCTCAAAGAGCTGATTAAATATGAAAATACTCATTTTCAATATCAGTATCATACACTTCAAAGGCTGCCTATGTGAGACAAGTAATATTTAATTCAAATCAATGTTGGCAAATGCACCTTTGAGTATGTTTAAAAATTGCACTTGCTATTAATCTTTAAATGGGTTATTCATTCCAGTTGAGTGAAGTCTTGCTTAATAAGGCGAGATGAAAAAAAAACCCAGCAATATTGACAACAACAAAAATACTAAATTGAAAAAGCACTCAAATGAATAAAACATCCAAGTGCTTCACATTCTTCCAGTAAAATCCCTTGTATACACAGTCTAATATATACAATAACTGCTTATTGAAAAGTGAACAATAACACTGTGGATTGTGGGTAGTAACAACAACAACAGACTCTTTAGCAGTTATTTATGTTGCTATATGGAGATGTGAGGGACAGAAGAGAGGTTAAGAGAGTGGAATGTGTTCCTGTGAATGTGGGATTGGAGTAGACTGAGGGCAGGTCATACCAGGGTGAAGCTCTTGGGAGAAGCAGCCCATCTCTTCACCGTGGTTAAGGGCCACTCCTGAACCACGTCTTTAGTCTTCTCTTCTACCCGCATCACCGACTCTTTGGTTATCCCCAGTAACCGAGGGACCAGCTTATTCTTGCTTTTCATCTTTTCCTAACAGACAAGACATAACACAATATTTTCATAGGTGTTAAACACCTACACAGATGATTCACTGGGGACATCTCTTTATTCAGAGAAATTAAAACAGCAGCGGAGCAGCACTGCCTGCCACAGATAGCACACATGCTCTGTTCTGTTTGTCTGTCCTGAGTCAGGAGCCCCAGTGGAGGAGGAGGGCGGATGGGGAGTGACCTTGCAGAGTTCAGGCTTGTTTAACCGGGGCTCCCTGCTGTTTTGCTGAACAGGCCATCCCCCTCCTTCCCCAGGCCAGGCCTCTGTTGCTAGGGGAGCCTCAGCCTGGCTGTCAGTTTGTCAGGATGGAGCTTCCACCAGCAGCAGCACACTGACTCTGCCTGGCTCTAGTGCCCTCCTCCTCTCTGCCCGCACACAATCCATTATGCCTCACTTCAGAGGCACCACTCCAGCAACGCTGAACACTACACACAATTAACAGTTAGGAGGACGGGGAGTTGAAAAATACCTTTTCACGTCTCCAGGCAATTGTTTTTATTTCAGGTTAAAAAAGTATAGCTCCAAGACAGGAACAAGGGAACAGCTTTAGAGCAACTTGTACAGTTTTCATCCAAGGTCAGATAAAATTATGTTGAATATCATGGTAGCTATGTTTAGAGAACTATTCCAATTGTTCATTGTCTTTGCTTAAGTCGTTTTTCACAGTGTATTCAACTCAGGAAGTCAGATTTTGGAATCTGAAGTGGTTTGACATGTTAGAGATCTTAAATCTGTAACCTTTTATTTCGGACAAAGCAGGTGGGTGAGGTTTTGAAACATCTTCTGGTCTGGGACTCACAGCACAGGTGAACTGTCAGAGAGGTTTCATTGGCCGTAGTCCCACCATCACAGACAGGCTGAATTCCTTCCATATCATATTTAGGAGCCTTACAGTTATGGAAGGCTTGTTCTGGGAGCACTGAGCTGGTTTAAGAGTGACAATTAACAAATTAAAGGTTGCAATAAACTTCCAAAATGTGCATTACCTACAGTATATCTATGTTTTTGGCTGTGGTTGCTGTGTGAGAGAGTGCTGCTAAAATTAATTATTTATCATGCTCTTAAAACCCCCAACTCTCTCTCCTCGTCTCTCTCTCACTCACTCTCTCTATCTATCTCTCTCACTCACTCTCTTTCGCTATCTCTCTCTCACTCACTCTCTCTAACTCACTCACTCTCTATCGCTCTCTCACTCTCTTTCGCTATCTCTCGCTCGCATGCACACACAGCTCTCAAGGCTAATCTTAACTTTGCAGTCAGCTGTATTTACATAGTAAATCGTTCAGTTTACTTTCTGTTGGAAAATACAACCCTCTCTTATTTTATCTTACCTTCACCAGGAAGAAGGAGACCCCATATGTCGGAAGGGACCTTGCTAGTTTCGCATACTTCACTTTAGACTCAATCTCTGTCATTTCTCCACAGGTTTTGTGATCCTGCGGGTCAGAGGGAAATAGGTACAGCAATATGAACTTTTCAGAGTATTAAGATTGTTACATTTTCTGAATATTATTGATTTTAATTCACATGCTTTTTATTTCCCTTTGATAACATATAAATCCATGCTTACAACATACTGGACAATACTGAACATACCACAAATATTTTTTTCTCCGACCCTCTCTGCTTGATGTACTCTTTGGGTAGAAACTCCTTCAGGCTATGGTGATAAATCACATTTGACAAGTTTACACTCATGATGTACAGGCATTTCCCTTTCCAAAACATGCTTTGTTAATTATATCTGATAAAAGGACTTACTCTAGGAATCCAGGCTTGTGTTTGTGTTCGACATGGGGTCCAAACTGGATCTGAGCCTGAATTCCAGCAAACTCACAGGCTTTATCAAATGACACAGGGTGGGAGCCGTTCAGTATGTCATCTCTGGCCTAGAGGAGAGAAGGAGACAGAAGAGAGAAAAGAAAGAGTGTACTTTACACTGAGTTCAAGCTAGAGAGTGATGTAGCTTTTTCTGTTTTCAAAGTAGCTTCAGAGAAGAGTGCCTGCTAGGTGAAAAAATGTAAACCAACAGCAGGGATACAACATAAATATTGAACTTAGATTAATGGACTCAGAGGAGACAAACAAGATTAGTTTGTAGCAATCCAAGCCATTTGCTAACATATGAAATGTAACAGCCTCAACCATTGTGGCCAACAGCCTGCTCCCGAGTGGCGCAGTGGTCTAAGGCACTGCATCTCAGTGCTTGAGGCGTCACTACAGACCCCCTGGTTCGATTCCAGGCTGTATCACTACCGGCTGTGATTCGTAGTCCCATAGGGCGGCGCACAATTGGCCAAGCATCGTCCGGGTTTGGCCGGTGTAGGCCGCCATTGTAAATAAGAATTTGTTCTTAACTGACTTGCCTAGTTAAATAAAGGTAAAGTAAAAAAAAATATTCATCATTACAGTCAATGGTGACATAGTAACAGAAACAAAGGCGTCAATAAACATGCACATTTCTCATAATATTGCTTTGAAAGTTAAAAAGCAACTTTAACTGAGTGGTTTTTAATTATTACAATATGTACAAAGTATACAGTGGGGGAAAAAAGTATTTAGTCAGCCACCAATTGTGCAAGTTCTCCCACTTAAAAAGATGAGAGAGGCCTGTAATTTTCATCATAGGTACACGTCAACTATGACAGACAAAATGAGAATTTTTTTTCCAGAAAATCACATTGTAGGATTTTTTTATGAATTTATTTGCAAATTATGGTGGAAAATAAGTATTTGGTCAATAACAAAAGTTTCTCAATACTTTGTTATATACCCTTTGTTGGCAATGACACAGGTCAAACGTTTTCTGTAAGTCTTCACAAGGTTTTCACACACTGTTGCTGGTATTTTGGCCAATTCCTCCATGCAGATCTCCTCTAGAGCAGTGATGTTTTGGGGCTGTCGCTGGGCAACACAGACTTTCAACTCCCTCCAAAGATTTTCTATGGGGTTGAGATCTGGAGACTGGCTAGGCCACTCCAGGACCTTGAAATGCTTCTTACGAAGCCACTCCTTCGTTGCCCGGGCGGTGTGTTTGGGATCATTGTCATGCTGAAAGACCCAGCCACGTTTCATCTTCAATGCCCTTGCTGATGGAAGGAGGTTTTCACTCAAAATCTCACGATACATGGCCCCATTCATTCTTTCCTTTACACGGATCAGTCGTCCTGGTCCCTTTGCAGAAAAACAGCCCCAAAGCATGATGTTTCCACCCCCATGCTTCACAGTAGGTATGGTGTTCTTTGGATGCAACTCAGCATTCTTTGTCCTCCAAACACGACGAGTTGAGTTTTTACCAAAAAGTTATATTTTGGTCTGTCACTGCAGGATTTGAGTCCCTGGTGGCGTAGTGTGTTACTGATGGTAGGCTTTGTTACTTTGGTCCCAGCTCTCTGCAGGTCATTCACTAGGTCCCCCCGTGTGGTTCTGGGATTTTTGCTCACCGTTCCTGTGATCATTTTGACCCCACGGGGTGAGATCTTGCGTGGAGCCCCAGATCGAGGGAGATTATCAGTGGTCTTGTATGTCTTCCATTTCCTAATAATTGCTCCCACAGTTGATTAGCTCAGCTGGTAGAGCACGGCGCTTGAAACGCCAAGGTAGTGGGTTCGATCACCACCCATACACAAAAAAAAAATTATGCACGCATGACTGTAAGTCGCTTTGGATAAAAGCGTCTGCTAAATGGCATATTATTATTATATTATTATTATTATTCTTCAAACCAAGCTGCTTACCTATTTCAGATTTAGTCTTCCCAGCCTGTTGCAGGTCTACAATTTTGTTTCTGGTGTCCTTTGACAGCTCTTTGGTCTTGGCCATAGTGGAGTTTGGAGTGTGACTGTTTGAGGTTGTGGACAGGTGTCTTTTATACTGATAACAAGTTCAAACAGGTGCCATTAATACAGGTAACGAGTGGAGGACAGAGGAGCCTCTTAAAGAAGAAGTTACAGGTCTGTGAGAGCCAGAAATCTTGCTTGATTGTAGGTGACCAAATACTTATTTTCCACCATAATTTGCAAATAAATTCATAAAAAATCCTACAATTTGATTTTCTGTACCTATGATGAAAATTACAGGCCTCTCTCATCTTTTTAATTGGGAGAACTTGCACAATTGGTGGCTGACTAAATACTTTTTTTCCCCACTGTATACAAAACAATAAACAAAACATACAGTGAGGGAAAAAAGTATTTGATCCTCTGCTGATTTTGTAAGTTTGCCCACTGACAAAGAAATGATCAGTCTATAATTTTAATGGTAGGTTTATTTGAACAGTGAGAGACAGAATAACAACAAAGAAATCCATAAAAACGCATGTCAAAAATGTTATAAATTGATTTGCATTTTAATGAGGGAAATAAGTATTTGACCCCCTCTCAATCAGAAAGATTTCTGGCTCGCAGGTGTCTTTTATACAGGTAACGAGCTGAGATTAGGAGCACACTCTTAAATGGAGTGCTCCTAATCTCAGCTTGTTACCTGTATAAAAGACACTTGTCCACAGAAGCAATCAATCAATCAGATTCCAAACTCTCCACCATGGCCAAGACCAAAGAGCTCTCCAAGGATGTCAGGGACAAGATTGTAGACCTACACAAGGCTGGAATGGGCTACAAGACCATCGCCAAGCAGCTTGGTGAGAAGGTGACAAGAGTTGGTGCGATTATTCACAAATGGAAGAAACACAAAAAAACTGTCAATCTCCCTTGGCCTGGGGCTCCATGCAAGATCTCACCTCGTGGAGTTGCAATGATCATGAGAACGGTGAGGTATCAGCCCAGAACTACACAGGAGGATCTTGTCAATGATCTCAAGGCAGCCGGGACCATAGTCACCAAGAAAACAATTGGTAACACACTACGCCGTGAAGGACTGAAATCCTGCAGCGCCCGCAAGGTCCCCCTGCTCAAGAAAGCACATATACAGGCCCGTCTGAAGTTTGCCTATGAACATCTGAATGATTCAGAGGAGAACTGGGTGAAAGTGTTGTGGTCAGATGAGACCAAAATCGAGCTCTTTGGCATCAACTCAACTCGCCATGTTTGGAGGAGGAGGAATGCTGCCTAGAACACCATCCCTACCGTCAAACATGGAGGTGGAAACATTATGCTTTGGGGGTGTTTTTCTGCTAAGGGGACAGGACAACTTCACCGCATCAAAGGGACGATGGACGGGGCCATGTACCGTCAAATCTTGGGTGAGAACCTCCTTCCCTCAGCCAGGGCATTGAAAATGGGTTGTGGATGGGTATTCCAGCATGACAATGACCCAAAACACACGGCTAAGGCAACAAAGGAGTGGCTCAAGAAGAAGCACATTAAAGTCCTGGAGTGGCCTAGCCAGTCTCCAGACCTTAATCCCATAGAAAATCTGTGGAGGGAGCTGAAGGTTCGAGTTGCCAAACGTCAGCCTCGAAACCTTAATGACTTGGAGAGGATCTGCAAAGAGGAGTGGGACAAAATCCCTCCTGAGATGTGTGCAAACTTGGTGGCCAACTACATGAAACATCTGACCTCTGTGATTACCAACAAGGGTTTTGCCACCAAGTACTAAGTCATGTTTTGCAGAGGGGTCAAATACTTATTTCCCTCATTAAAATGCAAATCAATTTCTAACATTTTTGACATGCATTTTTCTGGATTTTTTTGTTGATATTCTGTCTCTCACTGTTCAAATAAACCTACCATTAAAATTATAGACTGATCATGTCTTTGTCAGTGGGCAAACGTACAAAATCAGCAGGGGATCAAATACTTTTTTCCCTCACTGTACTGCAGGCCTAAATAAAGTCAAAATGAAGACTTATTGCCAGGCCTCAATAATGCTTGATAGGAACCATGTAGCAACCTGTCCCCTGTCTGGCCACAACAGGAATGACTGTTTCGATACACTTCCATCAAGGCTTCAGTTGGAATATACAGTATCATTTTGCACCAATAATCTAAGACATCTGTTATATTTAAATGTCTTGTCCATCAAACCATTAGCATGGGGCCTGTGTTTCCTCATGGGGTCTGTCAGTTCTGTCTCTGTGTGCGTGTGTATATGTCTCGCTTGCCGCCTCTCATGTCTTTGCCATGTCCCTGTCCCCTGTCTCGCCATCGTCTGTTCTCCTTCCTCGCTCTTGTTCGTCTTTGCTCTCTTCTCTGTTCTCTCTGTCCGTCCTCTGTATCTCATCTGCTCTCTGTCTTCTCGCTCTCAGTCTTCTCCTCTCTATTCTTGTCTCTCTAATTGTTCTCTCTCTTCTCAGTCTCTCTCTCGCTCTCTTTCTCTCGCTCTCTCTCTCTCGTCCTTCTCTCTCTCTCGCTTGTCTCTCTTCTCCTCTCTGCTCTCTCTCGCTTCTGCTTCCTCTCTCCTTCTCTCTCTCGCGTTCTCTCTCTCTCGTCTCTCTCCTCTCTGCTCTGTCCTCCTC